TCAAAGTCATGACAGATAATACAACTGATGTTGCCTACATTAACAATATGGGGGGCTCTGGCTCTTTTTTATGCAATGACATGGCCAGAGAAGTATGGGCATGGTGCATGACCAGGAATATTTGGCTCACTGCCAGCCATATTCCTGGGAAACTTAATGTTGTTGCCGACAAGGCCTCCAGGGTGTTTGATAATTCTACAGAATGGAAACTGGATGCTAACATATTTCCAAAGCTAACAGCACACTTTGGTACCCCTGAAGTGGACATGTTTGCTTCCAGACTTAACTACCAAATGACACCATTCGTTTCATGGCATCCTGACCCTCAAGCATGGGCTATTGATGCCTTTACTTTGGACTGGAATAATATATTCTTTTATGCCTTTCCACCTTTCAGCATTATACCACAAGTATTGCAAAAACTGGATACAGCTCAGACACAAGCAATCCTAATTGTGCCAAATTGGCCAACCCAGCCATGGTACCCTATGTTGACAAGGTTGTTGATCCAACAACCAATCCTTCTACCGAAACACAAGAGCAATGTGTCTCTTCCTTTCAAGCAAGAAAAAGAACACCCGCTGGGGAAACAACTGAAGCTGATGGCCTGTCTCTTATCCGGCGATCCCTGTCAAGTAAGGGCATTTCATCAAAAGCTCAAGCAACAATACTCAACTCCTGGCGGTCTGGAACACAAAAACAATACCAAGTCTTTCTCAACAAGTGGCAGTCATTTGCTAATCAGTGGAATGCAGATCCCCTTCATCCAACTCTGATTGAGGTGCTGGAGTTCCTACAGGCACTTTTTGACCAGGGGTTTAGCTATAGTGGCATAAATACTGCACGGAGTACATTGTCATCATTTGTGGTCTGGGAGGGAAACTTATCTGTTGGTACACACCCAATGATACAAAGATTCATGAAAGGAGTTTTTCAGGCTAGACTTGCACTACCCCGATATCGGAACACATGGGATACTTCAATTGTACTATGGTACCTCAAAACACTTCATCCAGTAGAGGAACTCACTTTACAGCAGCTTACTCATAAACTAGTTATGCTCTGTGCCTTAGTTACGGGGCAGAGATCACAAACCCTCCACCTTATGGACCTTTCAACCCTCTGCAAGAACAATGATTCCTATGTTTTTCACATTGATAAACTAGTGAAACAGTCGGCACCGACTCGGGACCAACCTTCTCTCGTAATCCCAAGATATCCATCTGACCACAGCTTGTGTGTAGCTTCAACTCGTGAGAAATATATTAAGCGTACAGCGCCCCTTCGGAACAATGAAACCCAACTGTTCATTAGTTCGATTCGACCGCACAAGAAAGTGTCAAAAGCCTCTATCTCTCGGTGGATAAAGATTGTAATGAAAGCTGCAGGGATTGACACAAGTGTATTCAAACCTCATAGTACACAAGCAGCATCAACCAGTAAGGCTGCCAGCTGTGATGTTCCGATAAATCCAATCCTCAAGGCTGCAAGTTGGAAAAGTGATTGTGTATTTCATCGCTTCTATAATAAAGACATTGAATCTCACCGAGAATATACAGAATATACGAGAATGTAAAGCAACTGTTTTGGTTCATATTACATCTATATACTTGAAGTATATATGTATTAGTGTTGTAATATGCAAATATTAGCTATGCATACTGCTGAAGTACTTATTTAGTGCCCACATGGCTTTAAAATCTCGTGGAATCTCTGCGGTAGATGTTGATAGAATTAGAAAATTAAACGAGACTTACTTGGAAGTTGAAGTTTGATTGGAATTCCATCAACCATCTACAAAGCAGAGATTACACGCCCTCCCATTATTCCATCACCTCCCTGCCTATCGTGTATATGCACATTCACAGGTTCTCATGTGGCCACTAATCACTTTAAAATATGACCAGCTGTGCGCATGCGTAGTATCTCGTGTAATCTCTGCTTTGTAGATGGTTGATAGAATTCCAATCAAACTTCAACTTCCAGGTAAGTCTCGTTTAATTTTCTAATTATACGCATGAGTTTCCTCGACAATAGTGGCACAAAGTCCCACACGATAGAGCGTGCTCCTAAGATTGAACGCTGTTCATTAGTTTATTCAAAACAATAAATAAATAATAGTAATTTCTACCAACCTTAGGTCCAGGATATGATTATTCCTTGACCGACCTATTATCCGCAATTCCCGCCAAAACTCTCACGACTGAGTGCAAATTCCCGCCAAAATCATTACGACTGAGTCACTTCGATGTTTGTCAGGAAATGAGTCCGCCTTTTACAAATTGCAACCCGCGATTTGTAAAACACGGACTCAGTCCGCGTTTTACAAATCTTAGTTCGCGATTTGTAAAACACGGACTCAGTCCGTGTTTTCCCGGTCCAGGCCAGTCCAGTCCGTGTTTTACAAATTCAGTCCGCGATTTGTAAAACACGGACTCAGTCCGCGTTTTCCCGGTCCAGTCCAGTCCAGTCCGGTCCAGTCCAGTCCAGTCCGTCTTTTACAACATGCCAAAAAAATGGCGCGGTGTTTGCCAAATATAAACGAGTTTTTTTTCTCTTTGGGAAGACTCATTGACACCTGTGATGGTCAGTTGCATTCTGCATCTCGTGATCGGTCCGAACTCTTAACAAGAAGACTTGATAAATATGCCAGAACGCTTTCAGTTATAGCATCCAGATTCACGGAGTCATATGGCCACCTTGAATCACAGAGAAGCTGTTTGCTTAATTTATCGTATATTTTGGATCGTACGCTTTCTCTTCGATCTCACTTTGAAAGAGAATGTTTTTTACAAGACATGTGGATGAAAACGGAATGTTAAACGTAAATATTTCAGTTGAGAATTGTGGGTTGAGTGGGCGACCAAGATTTCGCCTAAGCCACGAACAGTTGCAGGCTTTACACGGCGATTGTGGTATGCGTTGGAGTGACATAGCTCGAACTCTTGGTGTATCAGAAAGGACAGTTCGCCGCAGACGACACCAGTTCGGTATGCCAGTAGAGGGAAGAGAGTTCTCTAATATATCTGATCAACAGTTAGACAATTTCATTGCTCGAATTCTTCAAGCAACCCCGGCAGTTGGTTTGAGAATGATTATGGGATCACTAAGGCATCATGGTCACACAGTACAAAGGCATCGCGTACTACATTCTATACAAAGGGTCGATCCCGTTACGTCCACCCTTAGAAATTCTAGAAGAATTATCCGAAGATCATACAATGTTGCCTGTCCAAATGCATTGTGGTATGTTTAATTACATTTTCTAAATATTAATATTGAATTATTTTTTGGGAGTGACACCTGTTTTCTGGAGTTGTGATCCTTAATAATAGCCAGTTTATAAACCTTAATAGGGTGGCGGGACACACCCTTTGAAAGACCCTTTATGTTTTGGGTTAATGCTTTGTTACATTTTGTGTAAAAGTCACTTGTTTTAATAATCTATTAGGCATATCGATGGAAACCACAAGTTGATTCAACCTTATCGATTGGTTATTCATGGTGCAATTGATGGATTTTCACGGTTAATTGTTTATCTGAAAGTTTCAACCAACAACAAAGCAATGACTGTGTTTACGTACTTCCAAGAAGCAGTTACTAGGTATAATTTACCATCAAGGGTTAGGTCTGATCTGGGTTTGGAGAACTTGGAAGTCGGTAGGTTCATGCTAGCAATGCAGGGTTTAAATTGTGGCAGCATTATCACAGGAACGTCAGTTCACAATCAGAAGATAGAGAGGCTGTGGCGAGATGTGAACAGGGTTGTTGTTTCAAGATTTCTAAATATATTCCTGTATCTAGAAAGACAAAATGAACTAGATTGTAACAATGAGTTGCACCTGTACTGTTTGCATCTTGTCTTTGTCGACTTAATCAATCAATCACTTGAAACATTCATGGAGCAATGGAACAACCACCCAGTGACTACAGAACAAAACTTTTCCCAAACCAGTTATGGGTTCGAGGAATGATTAGAATGCAGAATACACACCATACAGCAGTCCAAATGGTTTTGCATGGTCCGACTGATATTGCTAATTATGGTATAGATGAAGATGGGCCAGTTCCTTTTCCTGATGCAGAAGAGTATATGATAGCCGTACCTCTATCTCCTGTGCATCTAAATGCTGATCAATTGCACATTGTGTTAAGTACCATAGATACTTTGAGGAATTTAGATGACAATGGAATTGAAGCATTTGTAGCTGCAAAAAGTATTGTTTCAGGCTTCTTGCAACCTAGATCTAACACAGTATGATGACCTGTCTCTCTTTAACCAGACTGCTAACAATTTTTAGTTGCCACTGCATTTTTTCTGTTTTTAAATGTAACGATTATTAAATTATATATAGTCTCCCTTGCAGCCGTTTTTTGTGTCAAGGTTTCTCCTAACGAGCGGCTGCTCACTCGAGCACAACATTCCATTAGAAGCGATTGCTGTGATTGGTTGGTTTCAGGAAAGCAGCCACTCGTGAGGAGAAACCTCGACACAAAGAGCGGCTGCAAGGGAGACTATTATATGATGATCTACAGTACCTGTACTTAATTTTTTGCAAAAATAATGTAAGTTTGGCCAAATTCAGAACAGTGACTAGTGTTGGCATGTACAAAGTACAAATGTGTGCTTACAGTATACCAAGTTTCAAGACTTATGGTAATTGCTAATAATGTAGCACAATTAATGGAAGTCTGAATAAGATTCCATTAAAATTACCTTTCCATAGTAGTGCACTACACTGTTAAATTAAAACATGTCGTTTGCCAAGAAGACGCATAAATTATATTCTTGTGGCAAATATATCTACCATCATTCCTACTTAGGGCACAAGAGCTCGCATTAACTATACCAGTGTGGCAGTTAATTATGTTATACAGCTAATTCAATTCAGGTTGTCCTTCCAAAAAATTAAACTTTAAACTCTGAGTGCACAAGGGATGATGGGATATTGCTTATTTAAACTCATAAATTTTGGCTTTGCAAGAATACCTAAGACATATAGAAGACTCACAACATAAAACGTACTTGCTGCAAATTCAATTTTCTGAATTTAAGGGCCTAATAGGTGAAAAGCCATCATCCCTTGCATGCTTAGAGTTTAAGGTTTGAGAAAGACAACCTTAATTGAAGCAGCTGTATATACCTGGGCTAGACAGTACGTATAGCAACATTTGCGATATTGATTATTGTCATAAATTTCAGTTTGTTACATCAGTTATCACATAACTTGTAGTTGAAACAACCCAACACTCTTTTATTCTAATATATAAATTGACAAATACAGTATATGACTTATACTTGTTCTAATATATAAATTGACAAATACAGTATGTGACTTATACTTGTATGGACTATTGCTCCAACAAAATATCATCAAATGGTTATTAACCCAACAAAACTGAAAAAGTGAATGTTTTGAAAGAAAGTCGTATTTATAGTGCAACCCAATGTGCATACAATATAGGTATATCTGATTCTTCATCCTCGCCCAAATCCTTTATGCTGACAGTTAATGGCAATGTTCATATTCTTCATGAATTCGTTTAATGTCAGATGGTTAAGTGGAAGTTTAAGTATTCCAAAGCATGCGTCTGGATCAGGCAAATCTCCCATTGTGAACTGGACATTAATTTTTTTCCCATTGGATGGTATGTAAGGACTGCCACAGGTGAACTGTAATAGATGTTCAAGTTTGGGAAGACCTCTTAAGCCACCATCCATTTCATTATCGTTATCACCTACAATGAAACATAGCGGATAAATGTTAAAATTTCTGCAGAGGTTTATAGCCTGCTCTGCGTGTATGGGTTGCAAACCATTTAAATGTACATAATGTTACTTTTGAAATAACCAAACGAGTGAATGCATTGTTAACTTATGTGTAAATTCTGGCTTGCTTTTCTGTGCAAAGCCTGGTTTCCATTTGGTTGTTGCTAGCTGTAGCACACATTGAACTATAAATAAGTTATTTATAATTCAATGGTAGCAACTGAGTCTTTTACTGGTTTTGGATTGATTGAAAACGTCAGCAGCGACAGCCAACGGGCAATTCTACTCTACCCCCCCCCCCCCCCCCTAATGAGTAATGGAAAAGGGCTAGTTTCAACCTTAAAAGTTGTTTTCACTCATGCGAATTAAGGTATTAAATCAAATGCCGGATTTGGATAATAATTCATGATTACTGTTCGAAGAAGTATTACATATAAGGAGTGGACACTAGAACAATGGTAGGGCAATGGTATGTTCAAATAAATCTAACAAGGTACAGAATGAAAAATTAGCCTTCCCTCTCACTTAAACTTCATAATTCAGCCCTATACGGTAATTACGTCATGACTAACACTGTTTTCAAATCAGGACCACCTTAAATGAAATGGATTTTAAGTTTGTTTCTCATGGGCTATGGTCAGAGGAGCAGAACATCGTTCTTCAACACATGCATAAAAAGAATTTTGGATTTTGACCAATAAATGTGGAAATAAGTTTAAACACGAAAACGAGGCTATGGGCCATGGCACGAAAACAAAGCTGAGGGGCCACATCCAGCAAACCGCCCTATCAATTTTCTATCGAGTATCGATTTTGGATTTTTTTATTATTTCGGTTAAGGTTAGAGTTACGATAAAGTTAGTTAGGATTACGGTTAGGGGTTAGTTACATAACCATTTAACACCTCTTCCATCTTCCGCAAATGACGTCAGGTACCGCCTGAAAATGACATCAGGTCGGTTTGCTGGGTGGAAAATAGTGCTAACCTTACCAATAATAGTGGCGAGAACTTAAGAGACAGAGGGGCACATCTCTCATGCGTCCCCTCCAGCGTCCCTGATCATAAGTAAGAAAGCTATGTTGTATATTTGACAATAATAATCTACAGTGTACATGCATACCGTTTTCTATTTTCTGAACATATTCTTTAAACCAAGCCAGGACTTGTGCTTGCTTTTCTGTCAAGTCGCTATCAGACCGAATCAACTGGAAAATGTCGGTAGCTTTCAGGACATGCTCGCTGCTCAGAGGAAACACTATTCGAACACAGGATGGGTTTGATAGCAGATTTAAAAGAAGACCCTCTTGGAGTCCTTGTTTAATGTCATCAATTTGTTCTCTCCTCGAACGGAATACCTGATGAAGCAGCACACACTGGATAGCCTTTTCCTTTGTTTGTGGTGTCAGTGCTTCGTTTGTAAAACCTGCATGGTACAGCAACATAGAAATGTCATCACGCGTACTGAAGGACGTTAAACTTGCGGGGTCGTCCAATCCTTCTAACTATAGATATAAAAGCAATATAAAATTTAGAAATAATTAAAATGGTCATGATACCTTAAAAGTCACGTATTGTATTTCATTGTATTTCATCATAACCCTAACCTCATGGAGAATCTCTTGGATCCCATAGTCTGGAACATCGCTAATTGAGAGGTGATTGCTTTATAGACATTGTCAGTTGCAATAAAAAACGACAATGCTCTAGATATGCCGGTCATTCCAAACCCAGCATGTAACACCGACATGCCAATCAGCTGCCCAACGTATTTAAAATACCCACTCTGGTGATATTCTTCGTTAATGATGGGCAATAAATGATCATCAGAACCTTCGAATAGGATGTAACCTCCTGTTCCACATTTCAACGAATTCATCACAATGGAAAACAATTCTTTAGTCAGCCCTTCAGCATCAATTCCATCTTCACCAATGAACGTCACGTCAGGAATACTCTTTGTCTCTATGTCTTTTCGCTTCAGCTTTTTAAAAAGATCTCTAACTATTGTTTCAGAATGTCTGTTAACATGTAACTCCTGGATATTGGTGTAATTTAAAACATTATTCATGTGGGTCGTTAATGCAGTGTTAGGATCCATGGCTGAAATATTTAATGGATAGTTCTCCAACACGGTAATTTCATCATCATCAACACTATTAACATGTTCTGCAATACAATGCAATAGAAAACTCATTTATCTGATTTATTAAGTATCTCTCTCAAATGGATTCAAAATTATCAAAAATATATCCAGAATTTCCATCGACACCTTTTTGGAAGTACTATGAATATTATAGAGTCTATATAGTGGCTGGTAAAAATATTGATTTTTCATGGTAAATCACCGTAAAAATTACCGTAAACAGTTACAAACCTGATCCGCTGGCATTTGTTCTTGTACTAGAAGGAGTTCTCGATTGCTGTATAAATGTAAAAGCTGGCAAAGATTCGTCAGAATCTAAAATTGAAAAAGCGGTATATCATTGCCTTGCCTTAAAAATAACAGTATGTATTGATATTTGCCAAATTGCCGTTTAATTTGTTTACTCATCATGATTTGGTGACCAGTGGTATAAATCAAACCTGTTTCTTCAACTGTACTGCCAAGTAAGATGTCAACTGCTTCATGCACATTCACAGACTTTTCAATAGCATTCGTTATAGCTTCTGGTCTGGACATTGGAAACATTTTCTCTAACTGCTGCCTCATTTCAATTTGTGAACATGTATTGGTATCTGTTGTTGCTAAAAATTAATGTTGAATCTTTTAACAAACATTATACGGACAGTACTGCATATTCACAAACTGGGGGTGGCAGATTAGGATATGTACAATAGCTTTAGTAAGATTGTACAAAAATTAGTGTACACACAGTCACACTCTAAAAGAGGAAACATAGAATAGTTCCCTACGTTTCAGAGAAATGTTGGGATAGTTGCATGAAAGATTCTTTTGAAACACACCCAAACAATCAATCAGTATTTTGGCAATTCTAAAGTTTTGGAAAGCTACAAAAACAAGTTAAAAAGATAGCTCTGTTTCTCTGTTATGTTGTAAAACCATTGCAATGTGGAACACCTGTAGAAAAGTTACATTTCATAATTTTCAGTGAATAAACTAATTACTAAAAATTAAAGATACTTGGGCATCCTTTGTCACATTTTACCCAAAATCATTTTCTACTAATATGGTGCTTACCTGATGTACTTTCTGAATTGCATATCGGCATCACAAAACTCCTAATGTCGCTTATCGGCACAGCTGGAAGAGGTCTATTGTAATCTTCTTCAACAGTTTCACACTAAAAATGTCATAATCATAGACTAAAGGCTAGTTTCCACTCAGGAAAATTATCAGTGGATTGGAACGGACAAGAAAATTTTTCTTTGTGTTAAAGTCATTAGTTTTCTTGTCCATTCCAATCCACTGATAATTTTCCTGAGTGGTAACTAGGCTTAATTTATCTGCGGACCAAAGCTGGATTTTGGTGGAAATAGTGGAGGAGGTGGGAAAAAAATGGGGGAGGTGCAGCAGTCTAGCTCACAACCCCCATGGAAAGTTAGACCTTAGATGTGCCCTACATTGGTATTTAACTCCATGTAACACTAGGCAAGTTTACTTCTCATTGGAATGTCACGGTCAGTTAACAATTAAGGATTACAGCACTCTTGGACAATAAGAAATGCTTGTTCTTTTATGGTTTACTCAAACTGAATATTAAAACGTTTAAAGCACTCTTTGTTCGTGCATTATCGGGATTTACAAGCACGAGTTCACGAACAAGAAACAAGAAATTTAACACTGCACGAGGCGCAGCCGAGTGCAGTGTTAAATTTCGAGTTTCTTTTTCGTGAACGAGTGCTTGTAAATCCCGATAATGCACGAACAAAGAGTGCTTTAAACGTTTTAATATTCAGTTTGAGTAAACCATAAAAGAACAAGCATTTCATATTGTCACCTTTAACCGTGTAAACTACACAAAATACCCCCAAAACTCACCTTTAAATAGCGAAACTCCCCATGCCGTTGCTCTTTTTGTGTTTGTTGGCATTGCCTCCGAAATTATCGCTTCTATTTCCTCAGAGGACAATTCCAAAAACTTTTCACACTCAGCAGCCATCTTGCAGTGCGATAAAAAGTTCATGCACGGCTATAATGCACGGCCGTGCATTGTTGTTATGTAAAAGTAAGTCACGTGGTACAAATCGACCAATCAGAACACTAGTTTACGAAAACTGAATAATAATTAACCATAAAGTACCTATAGTTTAATATTCTACTCTGTCTAACAACAGACAATTTTACTTAATTATCAAAGGAAGACTACTACGTAACAAAAGCTAACAGGTTAATGGTTCATTTGCAAATGATTTGGTCGATTTGCAAATATAAAAATTAATCCATTTGCAGGCAACATCCCTAGATGACATTTTTTGGTATTTTACGCTTTCCAATGACAGGGAAATTTTGCTCTGTCTATAGCATGATCAGATGATTTTACTCATTAACTCATTAGTGGATTAAAGAATTTACTTCCAGTTAATGAAGTTGCAACTTCATACTCACTTCTTCATCTTGATCCAAATCCTGGAATGCTCTCAAATAAACAGGACCAGATCCGGAGATATGTCTTAAAACCTTGCTATCCAGGGCTTGTCCTTGGCGCAGTGTAATTGGAACAATTGCTGTTCCCACACTTCTAACAAACTCAAACCTGCAACATCAAAATAGCCAATCAGCGTTCACAAATTACAACTGCCCTATTATAAATGCGTAATAAATTTGTTTAAGTTTACAATTAGCCTGCGTGGCAGGTTCATTGAATAATGAGCCTGCGACAATCTCAAGGAAATTTGGTATTTCTGAGAGGATGTGAAAATCCTATTGGCTAAAATATGTGCCAAAATATGCATAAATTATAAAACCGTATGTGGCACAATGTTTATTAATATTGCTATCAATAAAAGTGTATATTTTTGAAAGAGTACTGTGAATTTTACCCTGGGTGCCAGAGCCTCGTGTGCCGATAGAAGTGAGGGCACGACGAGGAGGCTCTGGTCACACGAGCATCCAGTCTCACTTTGGTGAGTTCAATATTTTCATTGGTTAACCGATGAGCGTCGGTTAACCAAGGAAAAGACTCAGATAAATTTGCTTGTGTGAATGAGACATGAATGAATGCCAGAGATACTGTAGCTGAGAGCTTTGCTGCATTAGCTTCTCAAGTTTCATTTTAATGCTCAAAAGCATCTGAGGTTCATCAGGACAACTAATGCCCACTGGTAAATGTGTAAATGGCAATAATCGGCTTTGGCCGATTAATCGGCCGATTATTACGTATTATCGGCTACCGATTAATCGAATCGGCTAATCAGCAATTTCAGCGATCGGCTCATCCCTACTGCCAATTTTTTGAATTCGCAAGCTACTCTATGCCCTACAACAGTAATAAAGTATATTACCTATTACTCTCACTCCATCACGCACAGTCTATAGACGGTTCGTATTCAAGGATAAATGAAATAAATTATCATAGTAAATAGTGGGCAGTCATCAAATTTCCGTTAGATTGTTGCAGGCTCTCCTTTCAATGAGCTGCCTGCCTGCCATGCAGGCTAGTTCAAATTATAAAAACAAAGTCAAATTATAAATTCAAATACAAACTTACGGTATTAATTCAGGGCTGTCAATTCCCAGCACCTTTGGAAAGAGTTTGGCAGCTTCAGATTTAAGATCTTCCGCACTCCAACTTTTATCGACCGCCCATGCATCGACACACAAATTTTTCTCGATGAGGTCAACTTTGACTTTTCCTCTTGGGACGGTGTTCCACGTTGGCGAAGGAAGTAAACATACTGCTTTGTAATAAACTTTTGGTTCTGCGGATACTTGACTTGCGCTACTGGAATACGGCTGAAACCGCCCAGTATTGCCAGAACGATTCGCACTTCGAGGTCGCCTTCAAGAAGTTGCACGTGCACTATTCGGCGTAGTCGCGCCATAATTTGTCCTCGCTGAAAAGCCAGATGATAGCGAGCATGAAAGAGTTTGCTGACTTGTTACTTGTGGTTGGCAGGATTGTAAGGTCTGAGGACGTCGACTCAATTCATTTGCATTGGTTGTTGTACAAGCTGCTGTTTGCGAATTTGGCTGGCTTTCTGCTCGTGCCGGTGGTCGAAAGGACTGCGAGCCTCGAGGAATTTGGAAGCAACAGTTCAGCTCATTTGTTGTTGTCGAAGCGCTAGCTGTTCCCGTAGGATTAGGTATGATCTTGGCGGCAATCTATTAAAATTATCAACCACTGCTCTAACAATATCTTGAATGTTGACCTGACCATTTGGCACACCAGCCATGCTTCTTTTCGCAAATGTTCAGAATTCACAATTATTCAGATCAAATGTCAAACGTAAAATTTTACTTCCGTTTGCTGCTCAGATGAATCACCTTGAAAATTCCACACTTCCGTTTCCACTGGACAAGATTTTTTTTGTATCAACCAATTTCCGGTTTTAATCGAATTTTTATTTTTGAATGTTTTTTATTTTTTTCGAAGAGATTTTTATTTTAAATTTTTGGAATAAAATACGTTAATTTGGAATAATTTTTTAATTACGCTATTTTGTCCACAACGGAATGCCATAGCTTTTTTTGAAATGTACTATTTATTAAAAAAAATTGTCAAAATTTTTCTTTCGTGTTTTTTTTGCAATTCTCCTCTGAGCCGAGCCTAAACTAAGGACTTTTTTCGCTATGTTTATGGGAAGAGAATCGATAGGCCGAACAAGGGGCATTATGAAAAGTGGAAAAAAATTTGGAAAAGTCTTAAAAAAAAATGTAGAAAAAATAATTGAAAAAATTTTCGCGGTAAATCACCTATTATCCCCCATTTGACCCCCTAAACCCATTAAACTGCCTCCTATCCTCTTACGGAAACCGAAAGTAACAATTGCAAAAAAAAGTTTGCCAAAAATCGCTTATTTGGACCCTATTAAATGTAAGTTTGTAATAATTTTTCATTAATATATGCTTTTAAGTAACCTGAGTCGCTAATGGAATGGTTTTTTATTACAAAACGAACTTAAAAGGTCATGAATTATGCATATCCAATTTCATGTAATTTGATATTAAAAAATGCACCTCTGACCTCTAAATTAAAACTGGATGAAATGCAAAAAAAGGGAAAAAATTTAATTTCAAAAAATTGATAAAAAAATCAAAAAAATCTTAAAATATTGTTTTCTTTTAGAAATTAACATTAAAAAGAAAAATTTTTTTAAAAAAATAAAAAAAAAATAAAAAGAATTCTAAAAAATTCTTAAATATTCTTATTTTTTCCTTAATAGAACATCGAACCGAACAAGATCTTATACTTGATACTTGGCAAAATGTCAAATAACCTTAGGGAACCAGACCTGTCACCTGCACGGATCTACCTTCCCGTAACACGTGAAATGCTTGATATTGATATTTGGCGATACAGTCATGCTTTCGGCATCAAGAGGCAGAAACTGGCACCAGGAGGCATGGGATTATATGGTCCTAACCCATAATCCCGTCCTAACCCTAACCATAAACTCCCAACAAGTGAAGGAGGAAATGTGTAATTATTTCTCCACGAAAGGCCATGTTGTCCTCCATTCCGCTGCAGGTGTAAGGCATATATGGTTATTGGGCACCCTAAACCCGTCCCATCAGCGACCTTCATTGAAGCGTTATTAAACTCAGCCGTTCCATACATCCGTATAACTAACTATGGAATGAAGCAAGCCATTCGCGGCTTCCCAGATCTACCAAGGGACCTTTTGCAATGTGATACAGCTGACGTAGGCTACCCTGAGAACGAATGGAATGTTTCGTTCTCCAGGAGAACAGACTACCTGTACATGGCGAAGGCCACGGTCCTTTGCCCCAACGCCTTCACACCAGAGTTCTACGGTGTGAACATGGAATACTACATGGTATCTGTTCCTATTTACATTGGGAAGGCAAAAAGGATTTTTGCACTGGCAAGGGCAATCCTCACCTGCGAAGGTGTCATGAGGCACCACGTCTCCAGGCTGCTGACGGGTCCAGAAAGGAATTTGTTTGGTGATCTCAAACTCCTACTGGCATACAGGCACGCCGGTTACCACACCGTGATCGGAGCGTTCAACAATTGGTGGGGAAACGACGAACCGGAACCACTACGAATTCAACCACGAATACCTCAGGCGAATACACCACCTGCAGCGATGGACGTAAACGACGTCGTCATCAACAACCCTGTGGTAAACCGAAACCCAAACCAAAACCCAATCCCACTGGCAGAACAGATCGATACTATGCTAATCCTGATAGCCAGGGACAATCGGAGTCCTCAAGGCCAGCGAAGAATCAACTGGGCCAGGGTGCATGCATCTTTCACACGACGATACCCTGAAGACGGCCGCATGAAAGACCAGCTAAAGAACAGGGTACACACGCTAGTCAACCGCAACCCAGACTTGCTTCAATAGTAAATAACATACCTTTTCCAACAAATAGATAAACATTGAAACACAGGCATACTTTATTTATCTACAGCTTCATGAAATTGTTCCCAAAAATGAGTCCAATCTTGAAATGACCCATCAAATTTAGTATCACTAATTTCGGTAATTCTACAGGGGCGTTTGGGTTACCTGTGGTTTTGCGATAATGTAACTTTGTTTCAAACAATCCTTTTCAACGTCGATCTGTTCTTTTCTCATTTTTGCCATATATATGTTCACTTTTAGGCCCATCAGGCAACTTCCTCAACCATTTTTGACTTTAAAACACCACTCAGTTATGGCTTCGATTTCCTGACCTTGAGCGATTTTGAAATCTTCAACTTCAGCGTTTACAATCATTGGCCGCTTTAACTAAACCTTTTTTGTTGAGGCGCCCTCAAGACCACAGTTCTGTGGCATTTAGAGTATAATTAGATTAATGATATTCATATTTTTGGACAACAAAAAAGTGTGAACTTTAGCCTCTCGCAGTAGAGTACAAAGTTCACTTGAGGGTGCAGCAGTAGATCTTTTTCCAAGACTCTTGTCGAAAAAGAAAATGCGTAAAAACGTTTAATTATCTAAACTGTTCAGGATTTATCTTACATCGTATGTAGTACCTTGACATTTGGTAAGTAAATTTCTTGTGTAACATATATTTAGTGTTGTAATTATAAGTCCAAACGAATTTAGAAATTTTGTGATCTTCAAAACGTGTCTCAAAATATCTACAAGGCTGTGAAGAGCACCCTATAAACTATCACACAGATCAAGTATGTCAAAAGCTTCAAGTCACTCCTTAAAATCATCAATTAAGAGAAAAGGATCCAAGCAGAGAAAGCAAATTTGACTTTACATCTGGTTGAAGAAGAACAACATTGAGTGCTTGAAGAAGAATTCAGACTTTAAGAGATAGAACAAAAGCGAAGAGAACTAGAAAGACAACAGAAGTTGGAGGAAAAAACTCAAAAGGACGAGACAAATAGAAGCTTTTAAACAAAAGACTAATAGAAAACTTGCTGAAGCTCACCAACAAGCTTCTCTCACAAATTTAAAAGCACAGCTACAAGAGCAGATTGATAACTATGTAGTAGTTAACATGGATCTGGTGTCAGAAATGAGGGGGATATTTCTTTTGAATGAGCAGGAGACTTTTCACCTAATTGTTTCTTCGTACAAATTACAAATCCAGAACAGATTACGACAGACATTCCAAAGAAGTATTCCTCCAGAACCGATATAACATATGCCTCTGTATTTAATAGTAATCCACATTACAAAGTCAACCAATTTTTCTCAACACAGTTACAGTTAATGTACAAACTCAGCAAGATGTAATATAGCCAGAGCCTGGGGAAATACTAAATCCAACCTTATCATGGACGACTCAAGACACTTCATATCCTAAAATACCAAGTCAGCCAGATGCAACAAAACCTTGGAGACCTGATGGCATTCCAAGCAGACTCTTGCTCAAACTGGCAGATGAGATTGCCCCTTTGTTATCCAAATTGCACAACATGTCTCTTTTGCTTGGCGTTGTACCCAGTAAATGGAAACTTGCAAATATCACTCCTGTTTTCAAGGCAGATGACCCAACACTCTCATCCAATTACGGACCAATTTCTCTTCTTTTCATACTGTCTAAGGTTATTCTGTCATGCAGTACGCCACCATACATACCGAGAATAAGGAACAAGAATTGGGAAAAATGTTACATTCAATTGGAGACTTACTAGAAGGGCAAGGCCGTCAGAGCCAACAACAACAACAACAACAACAACATCATCATCAGCAAACCCTGAAAAATGGGAAAAGGAGATGACGACGCCAGGCTGTCATGAATAGATAGATAGATAAACTTTATTTAAACATGCTGACCCCGTCAACCGAAGCTGATTTCCATGAGGGGCGTGCGAAAAGTATACAGAAAAGAATTTTAAAACTATTTACAAAATTATATAAGATATATTGTATTATATGAACTAACAAACTAAGGTAGTAATCTATATACAGGTAATATTAAAATCTATGTTAATTAGCTATCAGTCAATGTGAGTAGTGATTTTCTTTCGAAAGGAAGAAAAGGATTTGCTCTCTCTTATTTCTTTAGGAATAGAATTCCAAAGGTGTGCTCCGTCATACACGAAACCTTTTTTCATATTATTAGTACGTGGTTGTGGTAAACAAAGACTACTTGAAATGTTCCGAAGTTTGTAGTTTGTCACCTCACCCTTATATGTGAAGAGATTACTGAGTGATTTGGGTCCCATTTTATTCAATAATTTGTACATGATTTTTGCTTTACTTTTCTTCCTTTCTGTTTTAAGTGGCTTGCAATGCAACAGAGTGATCTATGTCATTGCTCATATTCAAAATAATCCAAGCAGCTCTGTTTTGTAGTTTTTAGAGTCTTTTTGATTGCGTTTCTCCAGACACATCCCATACTTCACAGCAGTAATGAAAATTGGGCGAACAATAGCATTATATACAGAAAGAAGTGTTTGCTTATCAGCAAATACTTTTAAACGCCTAAGAGCCGATATTCCAGATGTAATTTTCTTGCAAATATTCTCAGTGTTAGTTTTCCAAGATAAATGCTGGTCAATTGTCACTCCAAGAGTTTTGGATTCATAAACTTGTTTAATTGACTCGTTTTCAATTTTCACATTTAGTTGCAAATTTGAAATATTTTTTATCATTTGTTTTGAACCAATTAACATAAACTCAGTCTTAGCAACATTTAGACTAAGTTTATTTGCAATTAGCATTTCCTAAATTTTTCCAAATCAGAATTCACTGCAGTTTCAAGATCGGTAATAGAATCTCCAGAAACTGTCAGGTTCGTATCGTCAGCAAACAACAGAGGTTTTGTTTTATCCAGGCATTGAGGCAAATCGTTAATATATAACAGAGAAAATAGGGGCCCTAAAATAGAGCCTTGTGGTACACCACATTTGATCAATTTCTCTGATGAAACAGATCCATGTATTTGGCATTTTTGGTTTCTATTTGAGAGATATGATTCTAGAAAAGACAGAGCTTGTCCTTTTATTCCATAAAGCTCTAATTTTTTCAATAATATTTGATGGTCGACAGTATCAAATGCTTTTTTTAAGTCAATTAAGACTACCAGGTTAAACATTTTGCGGTCTAAATTCATATACCAATCATTTGTACAGTCAAGTAATGTTGTAGCTGTAGAGTGAAATTTACGAAAAACCGAATTGACAGTCACTCAGAAGTTCAAATTTGGTTAAATAATTGTATAGCTGATCGTACAGAATTCGTTCCATAATTTTGCTAATGACAGGCAGAACTGAAATTGGTCTGTAATTTCCTGGCAGGTTTCGTTGGCCATTTTTATAGAGAGGTATTACTCTAGCCGTTTTCCATTCGTGAGGGAAAAGGGATAGGATAATAGCTTGATTGAAAATATATGTGAGTGAATCTGAAATAGCAAGTGCAGCTATTTTAATAATTTTACTGGAGATCTTATCAACGCTGGTGGCTTTGTTGCTAGAAAGACCATGTAAAAGATGGTAGACATTGCTGACAGTGACTGGCTGGAATGCACTGAATTCTGATTTAGCCTTTTCAATATATGTTTGAAAGTTCAAATTTGGAGTATCAATTTTGCTAGCTAGATCAGGGCCAATATTTGAAAAATAATTATTAAAGCCCTCCGCAATATCTTTGGTATTTGTCAAACTATTTTCACCTAATTTTAACTCATTTACTACTGTTGGTTTGCTTTGCCTACCTAGTATATCGTTTATAGTTTTCCAAGCCTCTTTAGAGTTGCATTTTTGATCAGAAATTTTAGTGGAGTAATAATTTTTTTAGCATTTCTTAGCTGAATATTAACTTTTGTTTCTCGTTGTTTTGTAATTTAACCAGTCTATCTCTAGGTTTGTAATAATGGCCTTTCTTTTTAATCTGTCCCTTGTGAATATAAGTTGCTTTATAGCACTTGTAATCCAAGTGCTAAATAATCCTAGTGCTAAATAATACTTGTAATCCATGTGGGCAATTGGTGGCAGTGGTGGAATTAATTAGTTGGTATTTATCAGTGTTTAGTAAGTAATTAGTAACAGGGGAAAAAATTAGTGAATATGACGGTTAGGAAATATTCAGAACTGAATGTGCTAATCACTAAATTAAATATAGTTCTAAGGACAGTGTTAAAACTCTTTCCACAAGATTAAGGCCAGATTATAAAAATTGTAAAATAATGACTTATTTATAGTTGGATCTATTATATTCAAATTTAGAAGCACAGCTACAAGAGCAGATTGATAGCTATGAAGTAGTTGACATGGATCTGGTGTCAGGAAATGAGGGGGATATTTCTGTTGAATGAGGAGATTTTTCACCTAATTGTTTCTTCGTACAAATTACAAATCCAGAACAGATTACGACAGACATTCCAAAGAAGTATTCCTCCAGAACTGATATAACATATCCCTCTGTATTTAATAGTAATCCACATTACAAAGTCAACCAATTTTTCTCAACACCAGTTACAGTTAATGTACAGAGTCAGCCAGATGTAACATGGCCAGAGCCTGGGGAAATACTAATTCCAACCTTATTATGGAAGACTCAATCAAGACTCTTCATATCCTAAAATACCAAGTCAGCCAGATGCAACAAAACCTTGAAGATTCCCACCAAACCCAGCATACTTGGGGGCCTGAGGGCATTCCAAGCAGACTCTTGCTCAAACTGGCAGATGAGATTGCCCCTTTGTTATCCAAATTGCTCAACATGGCTTTTTGCTTGGCATTGTACCCAGTAAATAGAAACTTGCAAATATCACTCCTGTTTTCAAGGCAGATGATCCAACACTCCCATCCAATTACTGACAAATTTCTCTTCTTTTCATACTGTCTAAGGTTATTGTGTCCTGCAGTACGCCAACCATACATACCGAGAATAAGGAACAAGAATTGGGAAAAATTTTACATTCAATTGGAGACTTATTGCAAGGGCAAGGCCGTCAGAGACAACATCAGCAAACCCCGAAAAATGGGAAAAGGCGATGACGACACCAAGCTGTGTGAATAGAAATAATGATGTGGACAATTGGTGGCAGTGGTGGAATTAATTAGTTGGTATTTATCGGTATTTAAAAAGTAATTAGTAACATGGAAAAAATTAGTGAATACGGCGACCGGAAATAGAAATATTAAGAACTGAATGTGCTAATCGCTAATAGCTAATTTGGTAAATTAAATATAGTTCTAAGGACAGTGTTAAAACTCTTTCCGCAAGATTAAGGCCAGATGATAAAAATTGTAAAATAATGACTTATTTATAGTTGGATCTATTATATTCCAATATAATAGGATCTTTGGTGGGTAGATGTGACGTAATTATCATATTTAGTTATTTAAATTAATACTAACAGGGAACAAAAAGGCAACCATGCGTAGGATTCAGGGTCAGACAAATGAAGCGTTCAATAGTTTGTGCGACAGGAGGAAGGTGTGGTTGAATTGATTATATGGAGCAAGGAGCCGCTCAGAGATCTTCTTCAATGAGGAGAGTTGGCAAAACCAAGTTAGGGGCGGACCATTAGAAATCCCAGGAGGGGGAGTGAAAATTCTAAAAAAAACATTTGTGCAAAGAAAAATGCCTGGGAAAAAATTCATGCTGCCATTACATCAGAGAAAAAAATCATGCATGCAAATTGCAAATAGTTTTGAAAAAATTCTTGCAGAGACACGGGACTGAAAAAAAATTGTGCTTCAAAAATTTTATAACTCCCACCTCCTTCATGGATTTCTAATGGTCTCACCCCTAATAAACACAAAGTTTGTAGACCGAGACAGTGTCTAGAAGTTCAACCTGGAAGAAGTCTGCCGCTGAACGCGTCAAGATATCAACTCAGTGACAATCGAAGCTTGATTAAAAGCATGGAACTGAAAGCACAGTTAAAAGGTGTGGTCGTCTAGCTAGCTAGCTAAACCTTGCTGTACCTTTTTTATTGTATGTATGAACATTAGCTATAGTATTGAGATTGTAGGCTTAGAATATCATACTATAGTCTAGTACTTACTACCGCAAGTGCTGCCTTAAAGCTGGAAATAAACGTTTAAATATTTGGGAATAAATTGCGATTTTCCAAATTCAAAAACAACAGCAGTACCATTAAGGTCAGACATACCAAAATAATTTCTGGCATGAGGATCAAATAAATAGAAAGAGGAATTGATATCATGCATTAAGGCCATCATATACCCATCTAATATCAAAATAATATCCTTACTTTGTGTAAAAGTATTCATCAAAGCTGAACCTTGACAGTCTTTTTCATAGTTCTGGTCCATACCAAATTGTTTCATCATTTTGTTTCTCATTGACATTGGGCTCTAACTCGATTACAATAGTGTTTTGTTGCAAGGAGACAGTATGTATCAAAATGCTTTTGAAAATGGTCTGATTGCATGTGAGAGATATTTGTCAATCGATGAATTACAGACTGTTGTCCAATGGTCGAATGATTTGCAGGCACACATACATGCCCTCTGCAAACGTTGCATGGCCAGTATAAATTTTAATGCAATCACGAAAAAGATTTAAAAAACAGTGCCAGTGCAATGCAATACATTGTAGGAGCAAACCGGGTTTTTTTCTCTTAAAATTTACTGCATTGAGTTCGCTGTCAGTAAAAAAGTTAAGGAAAACCACTCTGTCTGGAGAAAAAAGATTTTACTTTTAACTAATATGCCGATATATTGTGTTGTTGCTGGATGCAAAAGCAAACAATATTCACAAGAGAAAATTTCACTTCACAGGTAGGTAAAATGACTTTCAACTGACTTTGCCGTTGCCATTTTTCGCGATTGTTTGAACTGTTTTTTAGTTTATTACAAAATAAAAAATGAGAACTATAGTATGTGTCAATTAATAATAAATTGTTCATTTAGGGAAAACAATTAATCAATGTTTATTTTGAATTTAAAACAATGAAATTAAAATGACACGCCCCCAACACCCCCTTGTATATTGCAGTAAATTTGAAAATTAAAAAAAAACATGGCTGAAATGCAAAGTGCCAAAAATTGAAAGGCTGTGTTCAAACAATTAACGGGGACTATAAAACTCATTGTTCTTTATGTCAAGAACAGAATATATAGAGGTTATTTCCAGGGTTGAACTAAATTATGTACGGTTTGTGGGACAAGATTTCCAGGAGACAACGGAGTTGACTGATCTGACAAAGTGCCATTGATGTCTAAATTTCAGTAAATGACTTACATTGTTATGATTCCATGGCAGGCAAAAATATTTCGAGTTCACTTGAATACAAATGGTATTTAAGAATTTATTGTGGTATCAGAATTTGCCTGCCAGCAAAATAAAATGCCAAAATTATGTAAATGTATATGTAAATGTACTGTGTCAGTGAAAGTTCTTGAACAGTAGATGTATGACCTAAGAAACATTGTTTAATTATTAAATATACTGATATATATATATATATATATATATTATTTACCGGCTGCAAGGTCCGTACTGAAAAAAATATTTTCCCGAGGTCTCAGAAGCGGCCAAAGGCTGAGGGACGCTTCTGAGGCAGAGGGAAAATATTTTTTTCAGTACGGACCAACCTAAACGGTAAATAACACGTTTATGTTTTTATTTGAAGGTTCATTGTTATTATGAAATTCCGATAAAATTCCAGTTGCGAAGTACATTTGAGATCAGTTGTGTTTGTTAGTTTAGTACATGCTAGCATGGCTGACAAACTGCTAAAACGACACGATAAAAGCTGGATAAAAAGCTTTTAGTTTCATTGCAATAGATGATTTTCTACTGAACAAAGACAACAAAAGGCAAACTAAGTAAAATTATTTATTTTCTGGATTGTTTTACAGCAAGGACATGCTTGAAAAATGCTTTTTGACAGAAAACTACAAATTTTAGTTACTGAAAAACAATTTCTTATATATAATATACCTTAATCTTGGCATTTAAGGTATATTTTTAAAATTTTATGTTTAAGGACAAGTTGTACGTTGTAGTATTTATATTTCTATGTATATTTTCGAGGAATAGCTGAATATATGTGAACCATTTGAATGTAGCACTGGCCAGTGTTTTTTCGATGTTTATATTTATTTTTTTCACATTTTGCTTGGAGAAAGTACATTTCAGACTTGGCACTAAGTCCGCTGAAGTCAATTCACTGTATTTTACTATCTTTAGTATAGATATGGTCAGTTTTTCAACTTTTTGGGTAGTGTGTTTTGAGTTTGAAAATTGTCTTCACTCCTCTGTTTGTTGCTAAAAAATAACTCTTTTGGACCACGCTCAAGATATTGTAAAAAGCAGCCTGCTGCTGCAGCCAATCAGATTGCAGGAAATCAAAAAATATCACTAGGCATGCACAAATAAAAAAAATAATATATTATTATTACACTGTGTATTTTGAAAAGCTTCATACTGTTTTCATACTGTATATATATAAATTATATGTTAAAAAAAGATTACTATATATGTTTACATGTGATATATTGTTCATATTTTATTATATTGCAGTCTTTACCATGTACCCAGGGCTCCAAATGAGCCCTGTTAAGACTGGAAACCCAACTTTCAGACGATTTCAAAAGTAGGCAATTTTTTAATTAAATTTTCTAAAGTAGGTAAACAGCCATGTATGAACTAGGCTAATAAATGCGATTGGATTTAACTTGGAATAGTTGGATAAACTGTAAAATGGCATTCACAGACTGACAGAGCATCAGTAAGTCACTTTATAGCGCCTTGGCCCCCGCCAGACAGCGGTAAATAGTTTTGACCTGAAAAGGTCAAAGCACTATATCATATTTCGTTGTTATTACTCAGTAATATTATCGTCTGTCAATCCATTCACCTACTACGTCTACAATGACATCATAGCCTACTTTCTTTCGGGTAAGAAAGCTGGGAACTACCTACTTTTTGTAAAGTAGGTAGTTCTCAGGCACCTTTGCACTATAAAGTAGATAGTTTTTAGGCTTCTGCGCCACAAAAAGTAGGTAGTTATCAGTCTTCTTTTAATCTTTAACTCTTCTGCCATCGTAAGAACCCACATTGTAAGCATGCTTTACATTCCAAATGTCCAGCGATGACAAGTATAAATAATATAGTTTCATCACACGTTTCTTGCTGCTGCGTAATGCCACAAAGATAAATAGCGAGTTAGCTAACGAGAAGGGTTACCATCAAGCGTCAAGCCATGACTTATGAAGCTTGTTCTGTGCGCAGAATGATGGGAGCATGTGCGTAAAATGTTAATATCTGTAGTATGAATATCAGGGCGCTTATATAATAATTATATAAGCGCCCTGATAAATATGTCACTACACTCTTATAGTTATACGGTATATTAGGCAGCAAATAAGTCATTTGTGATACTGTAACTAAATTCAGGTTTTACTGTCGTAGAAAATAAGCGTAAATTACGTTTTAATTTAATTTTTTTGTCTCGTTCGAGAGTTTCTCATATTCATAAAGTTATTGCGCATATATGTTGGTATATGAAACTTGAACTACTACATCACGCTTTTGGAAATGGTAAGAAGCAATTCACTCCCCGAAGAAACCCTTCTACGTGTTCAAAATGACAACATTGTTCAAGTTACAGTGGGCTCACAGCTTGAAAGAACGGCATCCACGATTCCAACTGCGATGCAATCGGTACAAGAGCAGAATGCCAAGTGGTTCAGAAGTTCTTTAGAGTTCAACAGCCACTCAGAACTCACGTAATCCAACTGCTGATGATGGTGAGTTGATGTGTGACCTAAGACAATCCAGTGAGCAACTGCCACCTAGACAACCATCTCAAAGAGTGAGAGCACTGCCCGGAGACGATAATTCATTGGCAGAAGCGATTGCGTCTTTACACGCTGCTATTCAGAAAATCAAAATTAATGAAAGGGACATGAAAATGCTACTTGAACAAAAAAAAACAGTTCTTGAAAGTAAAATTTCTGAAATAGATCAGCGTTGGAGAAGACTGATACGATTACCACTAACGTTGACAGCACTACACGATCATTGGTTCAGTTGCAAACAACATATTCCTGGCTTCAAGTAAAGTTGCAGGTGCCACCAAGTGTCCCGTTAGGCGCATGTAGTTTGTGTCAGCGCCACTCCCTACAAATTACGCCAACATCGTGGTTATTCTAGCATGCAAAATTGGCTCCATTGTTCTGTTGTACTTGATAGCAATCATCGCGCACAAAAAGTTAAGCTACATGAACAGTCCGAATGCCATAAGATCTGTAAGTCAGAGGAAGAACAAAGGAAAAAGAATGCAATTCTTTTCTCCTCCCAAATTAATTAAAAAAAAAGAAGCAGACATTACTGAGAGATTCCTTCTGCAATGTTACGGACTGATAGTTACACATCAAGTAGTCAACCTTAGACTTCTTGATCTCAATGGCGAACCTGTCTGCGTCAATGGTAATCAGAGTGTCATTTCCCGCCACGAAGATCCCGTGCCTGACTATACCATCAGTCTCGGAGATACCCCCGTCGGAGCCCATTCAAGTGACGCAAGAGGTGTGTTCTGCCATGTCCACAACTTTCTACGCAAACAATTAACAATGTAGTGCTGTGCGCCTGAGTTGCCGGAGCCGGAGTTCTGCCGGAGCTCCGGCAGTTTTTCCGACGCCGGAGCCGAATTTTGTATGCCGGAGCCGGAGTTACGTTTTCCCAGCTCTGGCAAAATGACAAGAAAACAATATGAAATGAGACAAATGTCAAACGATTGTTAGTTACTGCAAACTGCCAATTGCTGTTAATGAATTCATCATAGACTCAAACTGCCACAGCCCACAGGAACAGCGTCGAAAAGCTGTAATACGATCGCAACTTACAAACGTCATGCTTTCAAGAAGCCAATCTGACTTAGTGCTACATACTGTAGTCTGTCTATTTCATGCCTTGTAGATAACGAAAAAGTACAAAACAAATAAATATCAACCTTTTGAAAATGACAGAGTACTTTGTTTGCGTGCGAACAATTGCGCTGTGGAGTCTGAGAGTGTTAGCGTCATGCCTCGCGTCATGCCTCGTGTCAAAGATTTTTCGAGGCTGGTTTCCATATAGATATTTTCTGCATGGTTAAGTGTTTTTCACTGTTTTGTTTCCTGAGTTATGTTATCTGATAATTAGGAAGCGCGAAAAGGGTTATTCATAATAATATTAATAAATGTTCTCTGATCCTAAAACATTTATTTAATATTTTATGATGTGGCCGGAGCCGGACCTCAGAGCTGTAATTCGGCCGGAGCCGGAGATGAAAAATCGGAGTTTGCACAGCACTATAACAATGTCTGACGAAACTATTGGAAAGGTAGTCACTTCATCATCTTCAGACTGCGAGGCTGTTTACGTTGGTGAAATTCAAGGCCTACAACACCTTTGGAAAGAGAAATTCAATAAAGCCCATATTCATTTTGGTGACAGAGCACACAAGATCGAATCGATGATAGGGAGCATACACAAAGATACAGAAATGAAATGGCTTGATGACACTCCGTCTAAATTGGACAATATCATTTCAAAAGTTTGTCAGTCACCAAAGCAACACAGAACTGAGACATACGGCAACCCTTAGTCATTCATTGGTTAAAAGCATAAAAAGACTAGTCGAAACAAGGTTTATCCATTATTTGGTCGGTTCGACTGATGCTGTCTTAACCAATGCCTATGTCCTGGAACTGCTGTGGCAACAACAAGCAGCGGACGGAGATAACGAAGTTCGTGGTCATTTAAAGAATCTAGTAGATCCTTTTTTTTTCCAACTTTGGTCATACTAGCTGACGTGTTTAGCCAGTCCGCATTCGCTAGTGAGATAGCTCAATCGGACATATATCCATTGTGGGACAATAAAGCCAATGTTGAAAGGTTTCTTCAGAAAGTAAAAAAATAAACGAAATGTCTGTTTTGGAAAACCCACTGAACAAACGTCTACGACTTCATCACCCAAGTATAAAGAATGGTGTTTTTACACCAAATGCTGGTAAACCAGACCAACATGTAAATATATTGCAACGTGACGTCCAATTTCGACCTCGAGTAAGAGGCCACCAGCAAATCTTAACGCCGCATGAGATAACTGCAATTGTTGAAGATAGACTCAAGCAGTTAACCACGGCTGTCTTAAAAGAAGCACCACGATTCCTAGCCCTGACTGAACAAGAGCAGCACATCGTGAATATGTTTGATATCAGATCCTTCAATTTCCATAACCCTGTAAGTTTATGTGAACAACTTAACAACGCACTCGCCAGTCATCTAAACAACGGTAAACTTTCATTTCCTCGAGAATGGTGTGGTGAAGCGTGTACTGGAATAAAATGTTCCTGCCTTTTAGACCAGTACATAGGTTTCAAAGAAAGAGTTCGGGACAACAAGGAGCAATTTGAGGACGCCTGGTTTACGAAAAATGAGGCAGGCCAAGTAAAATGGAACATAACAAGTGTTTTTTGAGCTATTTTCAGAAAACTGAATTTGGCTTGCATGAACAGATTCCAAGATGTAGTCGAAATGATATAAATATGTCTCATTATGTAAAGGTCGCAGTCTCATACAGAACGATTTGGTAAATTGATGAAAGATGTCTCATAGAAGCGATTCGGAGGGAAGTTCAATGAAACGCACCATGACCAAGATAAAAGGGATAGGGTTAATGAATGGCAATTCTGTCCCCCTCCATTCACTTCCCCTTGAAGATTTGCGAAAGGAATGGGCAAAGTCTCATTTACATGCCATTTTACGCACAAACCCAGGGAAAGAGAGTTCTACTCTAAAGACTTTAAGAAATAACGAACAAAAGATAAGATTTTGTTTTGATAACAAAAGTTAATAGTAGTATATAACTATATATCGATTTCAGTTTCTTCTAACCTTAGCCTTAACACTGCCTGATCCAAATAGAAAATAAATTATTGTAAAATTTAAATTATTAATTTCTGAATAAAATAGATGTTTAAAAAAACCTATCCGATTTTCAAATTGTAGATAAAGTGGTATGTCGCTTGTTATTACTTGTTCTGCAGACATTAAACAATGAAGTCATTCGTAATGCAAACAGAAAATGTCAACGAAAAATCAGCTTTAATTGACCTTTTCAAAAACACCTATAGTAGGCCATCAGATCCAAAACTAGGCTGTCACCCGGGAACCCCAGGCACAAGAAAAAGTCCCTTTGGAGCCCTGATGTACCACATAGGTCATTGGTATTCGATACATTGCAAGCAGGGTATTTAGAGAGGCAGATAGCTTGGTTAACCAGTTCATCAATGTTCAAGATCCCTTTGAGTGATAAAACTGTCTGGTGTTTATAGCCAGGTTATTTTTAGCATGAGGGCAGACTGAGCTTCAACGACACAATTTAATCCACATGTTCAAAAACTTATCATGTAGGTTTAACTGCAATTAGAAAGAAACTGACCAAGAATTGTGTGTGAACAGGCAGTGCCAGAAATTCACTTTTTCCGGGGGGGGGAAGCAAAGCACAAGGGCAGACTACACAATCACTGTGCTGCCAAGCCAAGTGTCCGGTCATGGTCATATTGACCGGTACAAATGCATGATTTCTAGTGTTTTGACAAGCACAACTTTGATTTTGTCTGTCACTTTGACCAGTTTGCATTATTCAGCATTTCAACCCTAAAAAATTTCCTTCTCTAAATGTCCCTCATTTTCCCAAAATTTCTTTCCATTTTTGAGAAAATATACAAAAATAATTGAACTTCCAGATTCTAGATTTTAGCTTAAAAACAAATTACATCAAATTAACAGGAAACTTATGTGATTATTTCTATATATTAGCAAAATATTTTTTCAACAAAATTAAAATGCAAGGTTAGCAAAAACTGCTCTGCAAAAGCTGCAAATTTGTAAATACCATTTAACCTATATATGTATGTAACCACTGCATATTTATATCCTATGTTTTTCATTGACAGGTACTTTTTTTTTTCTTCCCCATCAATACATGGGGAAGATGTTACCAAATTGCACGAACTTGAATCCGATTCTTCAGAGTCAGAAGACATACCCACTACTCCACTGGGCGTGATGTTGGCTGAGCCGAGGGCGCCAAAACACGACCCCGACAGGGACACATGTAAAGCTTTCGAGAGCCTCCCTGTCCTTCAATTGTTTAAGCATCATTTGAAGGACTTCGAGGGGGGCTCTCGAAAGGCTCAAGTGGCGAAAGATCATACCAGGCGGGTGTGTCATCTCTTATTCGAAATAGAAAGTAAGCCAAGTGAGGTAAAACCTCTGTGAGATAGCAACAACATTAACCTGCTCAAAAACAATTTACTTACTGGGAGAGGAGGAGAAGCGACAGCCTACAACGCTAAAGGCGTACATAGGATCACTGCGCCTCTTCTTCCAGTTTGTTATTGCCCGGCAAGAAGAGATTAGAAAGCTGGAAGACTTCAGCGATGCTGATCTGCGATTAGTGAATTCTGCCATGGCCAGGTTGGAGACCTGGCCAAAGGCGTTGGCAGACGGCATGAACAAAAGAAAAGCAGATATCCGTCTGCGGGACGTTGACGAAAAACTGCAACCCAAGGACTATGAGGCCTTCTTTAACAGCCCAAGGGCTGACGAAATCAAGAGAATGTTCATGGCAATTCAAAGCCAGGACGATCCCATAGTCAGCGTAAATGACTTCACGGCCATGCGCGACTATTTGCTGCTGCGAGTTTTGGTCGCCAGCGGCCAGCGGTGCGAGGCCGCATCTAATTTAACAATATATGAATACCAAAATGGAACCTTATCAGGCGCAGAGAACGTATTTGTAACCCGAACCCTTCGCCACAAAACGGCGTCAGGAGGGCCCGCCAAATTATTTTGGGATCAGGAAATAAAGGTGTATGCAGATACGTATCTAAACAAACTGCGTGGGAAGTACGAAACGGAGAGTTCTGTTGCCCCAGCGGCGCTGGGAATTCCCGCTCTCCCGTTATTCTTCATCTCGACCAAGGGCAATCCGCTTGACGAGTCACGTGCAAGTAATCGCCTTGCGCAGATGGGTAAGCAGGTGGCCCCTCAGCTAAAGGGGACACTGAAGAGTTCCCGTCTGCGCAAGGGCCTCATTAGCTTGCAGCGAGGCGAGACCTCTGCTGCTGGGTCGAGGGCCCAGCTGGCGAAGCAGATGGGCCATTCTGTGCAAACGGCCGAGCGCTATTACAACTTACAGGAGGAACAAGCTGATGCCAACGTACACAGCCTCATTGACAGATTGAATTCGAGCATCCTGTAACCAGTGAAGATGTCTTTGTCATCCTAGATACCTGTCATATGCTCAAACTGGCAAGAAATGCCCTGGCATTTCTTGGGACATTCTCCTCAAGTGATGACAATCCAATCAAATGGAGATTTTTCCATGCCCTCAATTTGGTCCAAGAACAAGAAAAGAAGGCTTGAAGCTTGGCAACAAGTTGTCTAACAACCACCTGCAATTCGAAAAGCACAAAATGAATGTCAGTTTGGCAAGCTCAAACGCTCAGTGGCAGATGCAATGGACTTCATAAACATTGTTCAGAAACAACCAGAGTTTGAAAGCAGTGAAGCCACAGTCATGTTCATCAGAACCATTGACAGGCTTTTTGATTTGCTGAATTCTAGAAATCCCCATGGCAAAGGCTTCAAGAAACCCCTGAAGTTGTCAGATATGAGTGGATGGCAAGCTGCACTGCAATCAACAGCAAAGTATTTACTCAGTCTCAAGTCGCCTGAAGGAATACCCATTGTCAACCATCCTCGTCGAACATTTGTTCTTGGATTTGTGATTAGTATCAAGTCCACTCTTGAAATGGTGAAGTAGATGCTGACTTTGCCAGAGAATCCCATTTAAATACGTGTTAACGTACAAGTATTCTCAAGATCATATTGAGATTCTTTTCTCGTGTATTAGAGTGAAAGGTGGTTGGAACAATAATCCAAACAGTCTCCAGCTCAAGTACGCACTCCGCAGGATGCTTCTTGAAAATTCTGTCACAGCATCTGTAAATGCCAATTCCCAAGTTTTTTATGACACCTGTGGTCATTCCCATCTTCCGAACACAAAAGCATGTAGCTCCATTAGCAGAAGATTCCCATTGTCCAAACTATGATGAACAACAAGACACAGACAGAGTGGAATGATAAATGACCTGCTAAAGTCCAATCCACATTCAGAATTTGTCCAAAACATCTTGGAGTACATAAGTGGTTTTATTGTTGCAAAGCTCAATGCAGCAAGTCAAATGTCCCTCCTGTATTGCCAACTTAACTGGATCATCACCAAAACCACCAACTCGATCTGAACACGACTATTTCATGGAACCAGTAAACAAACTCAAACCATCATTCCTTCATTTCCTGAATAACAGAAATTTGCAGCTCCCATCAAAGTTTGTGGTGGACATCATCAAATATGCTGAGCACATATTTAAGCTGCATGTCACAAGCCCTACCTCAGGCCAAGTTAGTAACAAGAGGTATCTAAAAACAAAGATGGTCATAGAATAATGTCAGCACTTTGGGCAAGTTGCAACAAATTCACCTCCTCCCCAACACACAGAGTCCACAAATCAGCCATTGATTGAAGAAGACCATCGACTATGGTTGTTGAAGTGTGTTGATAACTCATACCTGACCATACGATTATCCACTTATGGGAAAACATACACAGACATGGTGGTGAATTTTGGAAAACCTACCCAAACACATCAATTAACAAAACTGATTCTATTCAAAAACCAGTAATGCATATTTTAAGGCATAATTTATCCGAACTATGCAAATATATTATACTGTCATATACGTTCTTTCCAGTATGATAACACAGTAATTACTGTAATTGTTAAAATGTATGAGTCATATGTAACTGCAATGATCTTGCTGTGTGAAAACTGAGGATTTGACAAAAATTGGTTCCATATAGTCAAAAAATTATCCTGAATAAATATTCGATCTGCTGGGTATTATTTGATACAGTAACTAATTTCACAACAAAATTGATATTAGCAGGTTGAATAACTACTAAATTTAAAGGGTTTTGCGACATATATAGCAATAGTTTTAGAAAAATGGGATTATAAATATATCAAGAATTATAAAGTTTGTAGAAGGCATTTTTCAATATGATTAATCCATAGCCGTGATTGTTCATCGTCGTTCATCCCACTGAACACACGTTCATCATCTATCATCCCACTGAACACACATGATCATTGTCTATCCTATACATAACGTATTATCTCCCTCTCACGCTGTTGCAAGGGAGACAGCCTAATTTCGTCACTCTCACATGATATGCTCTCAACCAATAAAACACTAGAAAAATGCGACTTTGACTATTGATATATAATAATGGTACTTATTACACTGAAAGAAGTTACAGTTAAAGGAAAAATCGATATTCAGCTCCTTTGTTCTCAGGTAGGTAGATACTAGATGTGTCTTTGTTAACAAATATTTTATGATGGGAAGGCACTTTGTTCCCAATATATCAATATATAAACAAATAAAAGAACCCCAAAAATCATTTGAATAGCAGTCAAACCATGAGCATAAGTACCAAAATCACTAGGATACTCATAAACACGGGGATAATCATACCACTGTGACACAGACTGACAGACACACAGGTAAAACCTTAATACAATTAATAATTCATAAATTGAGGATAAAGTATATATGAGAATTTATATTAAGAACAAGTGCGACATATATTTGTATCAAAGCCGTTAAAAGCTTGCCTTGATTCTTGAAATTGCCAGAGTTGCTTAGTTTTCGAGGCGACTTTAAAGAAACATCACTGTCATATGTAATTTCATAGTTTCATGAACAAATCAAGCGAAATATGCCAAAAAAATGATCAAGCGTGGAAAACGGTGACATTGACCTCTTGTGTTGTGTTAGCTGCTAACGCAACACAAGAGGTCAATGTCACCGTAAGTAAATCTTCAACCAGGAATAAAAAGGATGTTGTTGTGATTTCCGGTGATGTGATTCTTTAGTAAAGAATATGGTTGGAGCATATACGAGTAAAGATGATGTTGGTCATCACTACGTTGTGAAAGCATTCCCGGGTGCAACCGTTGAGGATATGGAAGACTTTATCAAACCTATTACTCGTAAGTCACTGAATAAAGTCATTCTCCATGTCGGCACAAATGACTTTAAAAATTCCACACTGAAAGTTATTGCAGATTCAATTTTAAACCTGACAACTCAGATAAAAGAGGATTCTCCAAACACTATGGTAGGTGTATCAGCATTGCTAGACCGGAATGACTGTCCGAAATTAGCTACCAAGGTTAAGCAAGTTAACCTTATCTTAGACAATTATTGTCAAGTAAACAAGATTCCTTTCCTAAGAAATGCAAACATCAATACTAGTCATTTGAACAGAAGAGGTGTGCATTTAAATAAGTTAGGTAGTTTATCACTCCAAAATAACGTTATTGAGTTCACTGAAGGGCTTGAATCCGGGTTTTTCCATTAATTTAGTTTATTGTACGATCATCCAGATTAAATTTTTAAAATTATTTCTGACGTTTCGGCTACCTACACGGCAGCCATTATCAAAGACGTATTACAGTTACAAAAAAATTTACAGTTATAATAATTTTATCTTGCGTCAAAAATGACGTGCGCGTGTTTGTGATGTTGTTTGCTCGCGCCTGCGTTCAAGGCATGAGAGCTTGCATTCATGCGTGATTAGTCCAGTGTATGCTCCTGGCATATCACGGCAAATGTTAATGCTGTTTTCATCGCATTTTGTAAACCAACTTTCTAAGAACATTCTCTCATCCTCAAAACCATTAAACTCCATACAAGTGGCTCCCTCCCAATCAATTCTATGATTTGTTTCCATATGATGAACCGCAATTCTATTCGCCACGTCTTGTTTCTCTGTTGATCGCTTATGTTCTTTAATGCGACAATCTAGAGTACGTCCAGTTTCACCGAAATAAGTTGCGGGGCATTCAGCGCAGGTCACTTTATAAACTGTTCCTATCCGGGTCTTTGTATTGGTTGGATCTTTCACTTTCGTTAAGGTATTTCTTAGCGTTACCGTTGGTTTGTGAGCCACACTGATGTTGAAAGGTCGTAGGATTCTTGCAATTCTTTCGGATGTACCTTTGATGTAAGGGATGGTGGCAATGGTCTTCTTCCGTTCAGTTTCGTCGGTAGTTGGTGTTGTTTTCCGGGAATGTTCAATTACGTTGTTCACAAAAGGTTTAGAATATTTGTTGATGGTAAAAACTTTATCAAGGTGCTGCAACTCATCTTCGAGGGTTTCACTAGAACTGCAAACTGCATGCGCTCTCTTCACTAAGGTTGCTATTGTAGCTGACTTGTGCGAGGTTGGGTGGTAGGATGAATTATCTAATAAACGGCTGGTGCTGGTGGGTTTTCGATAGACACTCGTTTGAAGGGAATTGCCGTCTCTGGTTATCATGCAGTCTAGGAAAGCTATCTTACCATCTTTCTCAGGTTCCATGGTGAACTGTAGACTGGGGTTTTGCTTGTTGAGGTGGTCAAGAAAGTCGTTTTTCTGATGTTTATCGACACTCGTCAAGGTATCGTCGACGTAGCGAAACCAAAAAGGTGGTGGGTTTGGGTATGAGGACAATGCTCGTTCTTCTAACCGTTGCATTACAATCTCTGCTACGACTACGGAAACTGGAGATCCCATTGCTGTGCCATGAAGTTGTTGGTAGAAACTTCCGTTGTACTGAAAAAATGTAGACTCTAAACATAATTTGAGTAGGTCTATGATCTCTTCCTTCGGGATTGGAAGTTCATCATCATAGTTAGCTAAGGACTCTTCCATGCACTCAATTGCTAGTTTTAATGGAATACTTGTGAATAAAGACTTAACATCAAAGGAGACCAGTTCATGAGTGGCACTGATCGTCTTCGCTTGAATTTTCGTTATGAAATCTGCGGAATTCACGAGGCGGTGTTCCGAGCGCTCTGTTAAAGGCTTCAAAATGCGTGCAAGATATTTTGAAAGTTCATATGTTGGTGATGAACAAAACGACACGATTGGTCTCATAGGTGTATTTTCCTTGTGAATTTTAGGCAAACCATACAGTTTTGGAGCTTGCGCAACCGAACAACGAAGTTTTGAGTACAAAGGTTTCTTTATAATGTTTGCTAAATGTAACGGCCAAAGTTTTTTATTTAGGTTACGTTGTAATTTCTTTGATGGATCGCTCTTAAGTTTTTTGTAAGTGTTCCCGTCATTCACCAAAGTATCCATTTTTTATGGTACTCAGATTTATCCATCACTACGGTTACACAACCTTTATCGCCTGGTATAATAACAATCTAATCGTCCTTTCGCAACCTAGACAATGCTTCTCGTTCAGCCTTAGTTAAATTGACCACCTCAACAAGCAAAACCCCAGTCTACAGTTCACCATGGAACCTGAGAAAGATGGTAAGATAGCTTTCCTAGACTGCATGATAACCAGAGACGGCAATTCCCTTCAAACGAGTGTCTATCGAAAACCCACCAGCACCAGCCATTTATTAGATAATTCATCCTACCACCCAACCTCGCACAAGTCAGCTACAATAGCAACCTTAGTGAAGAGAGCGCATGCAGTCTGCAGTTCTAGTGAAACCCTCGAAGATGAGTTGCAGCACCTTGATAAAGTTTTTACCATCAACAAATATTCTAAACCTTTTGTGAACAACGTAATTGAACATTCCCGGAAAACAACACCAACTACCGACGAAACTGAACGGAAGAAGATCATTGCCACCATCCCTTACATCAAAGGTACATCCGAAAGAATTGCAAGAATCCTATGACCTTTCAATATCAGTGTGGCTCACAAACCAACGGTAACGCTAAGAAATACCTTAACGAAAGTGAAAGATCCAACCAATACAAAGACCTGGATAGGAACAGTTTATAAAGTGACCTGCGCTGAATGCCCCGCAACTTATTTCAGTGAAACTGGACGTACTCTAGATTGTCGCATTAAAGAACATAAGCGATCAACAGAGAAACAAGACGTGGCGAATAGAATTGCGGTTCATCATATGGAAACAAATCATAGAATTGATTGGGAGGGAGCCACTTGTATGGAGTTTAATGGTTTTGAGGATGAAAGAATGTTCTTAGAAAGTTGGTTTACAAAATGCGATGAAAACAGCATTAACATTTGCCGCGATATGCCAGGAGCATACGCTGGACTAATCACGCATGAACGCAGGCTCTCATGCCTTGAACGCAGGTGTGAGCAAACAACATCACGAACACACGCACGTCATTTTTGATGGAAGATAAAATTATTATAACTGTAAAATTTTTGTAACTGTAATACGTCTTTGGTAATGGCTGCCGTGTAGGTAGCCGAAACGTCAGAAATAATTAAAAAATTTAATCTAGATGATCGTACAATAAACTAAATTAGTTATTGAGTTCACAAATAACTTAGACCATTGACAATGTCGCTTCATTTAGAGTTGCTAAATCAGTATATAATATGCGATCTTTAGAGACTAATATGCCTAGTGAACAAAACCTACTCTTGCCTAAGATGAGTGTTTTTAAACTAGCATCACTCAATGTAACTAGTTTAGTTAAGCACATTGAGGAGCTCAGAATCCTCCTAGCCAATAATATGATTGATGTATTGTGGCTATAAATGAGACAAGGCTTGACTCTACGGTTAGTGATGATGAAGTGCATATACATGGCTACGAAATTGTTCACTGTGATAGAGAATCTAATGGTAGATTTGGCGGAGGTGTTTGTTTTTATATCCGTAGTTGTATAAATTTTCGGTTCAGCATGATTGATCAATTAGAAAACTTGTGCATCTTAACTAATAAACCAAGAGCCAAGCCTTTCTCATAGCGATATGGCATAGGCCACCTAATTCACCAGCGGTAAAGTTCAGTCACTTTGAATCTCTCCTAGGTATACTTGATGCTGAAAATATTGAGTACTATCTAATGGGTGACCTGAATGGTGATCTCAGCTCTACTGTCCTAGCATAGTTAAGGCTGCTCATTGATATTGCTGAACTATACAATCTTTCTCAGCTGATAAATGAGCCCACTCGAACAACAGATTCCTCCTCTACATTGATAGATCATATCTTTACAAATACTCCCGATAAAGCAGTTTGCTCTGATCACAGTCTCATTTTGATCACAGTCTCATTTCTGCTTTTCGAAAGCTTTTTATTAGTCTGCCGACAAGGGGTCGCTCAACGGTAACCTATAGAAAGTTTAAAAACTTTGACGCCATCAAATTTTGTAATGATATTAGTCTACAAAATTGGAGCCATATTAAAGAACTTGAAAATCCTAATGATATGTGGCATGCTTGGAAAACTACATCGATACGACTACGTCGATAAACATGCCCCACTTTGTACAAAACGTGTCAAGGCTTGTAAATCGCCTTGGATTACGTCTCACCTGAAGGACGAAATGCACAAAAGAGATATTCAAAAAATCAAAGCGATCCGTTCCAATGATCCTCAGGATTGATCTTCATTTAAGAAAATGCGTAATTCAGTTAATCACAAAATCTTTCATGCTAAAGAAACTTATTTCAAAAATGCTTTCTGTGAAAATAAAGGAAACCCTAAAAAGACTTGGAATATTATCAACGAACTTACATCTAAGAATAGAAAAACTGCTTAAATTACTGAAATTAATTTGAACGGTCACTTAATTAATGATTCTAATAAAATCGCTGATGCATTTAATGAATATTTTTCTAACATCGGCCCCAAACGTGCGGATAATATAAATTTATCTGGTCTAAATACTAATACGATGCTTCAATTGAAAGAAACAAATTCCTTAACAGTTTCTGTACTTTTTTCCAAACTAAGTAGGTCAAAAGCAACTGACTTGGACAAAATCTCCACTAGATTACTTGGAGAGTACCCTGATTTAATCGCCGAACACCTTAGCCTCATCTTTAATCATTCTATTATCACAGACATATTTCCCAATGAGCGGAAATGCGCAAAAGTTGTCCCAATTCACAAGCAAGGGAAACATAATTGCGTTGATAATTATCTTCCGATTTCCATTATCCCTGTTGTGGCTAAGGTTTTTGAAAGGATAATTTATGACCAGTTACATTTATATCTATCTGAAAATAAACTCCTAACTAATTGTCAGTCAGGGTTTTGTGGTTTACACTCAACTGTCACTGCTCTTCTTGAAGCCACCAATGAATGGGCTCATAATATAGATCATGGAAACATAAATGTTGTCCTGTTTTGTTGACCTCAAGAAGGCGTTTGATATACCCTGGCCCAGAGGTTTTTTTAGGTTTGCTGAATGCGAAATGCAAGAAAATGCGCGAAGAAAAAGGAAAAACCTCTGGTGAATTTGTTAGCGATTCCTGGTTCGGATAAAGAATGCAAAAAATGTATAATGGCTTAATGCATCATATTCTAAAAATATTATCCAATCATTATCCTTGACGCCAGGCCGTCTAGACAGGGTTTTATCGCATGTTTACTGTCCAGTGTATGCCTGCCGATTTGTAGCAATATTCATTCTCCTGAATTTCATTCAATTTAAAACATCACATCTATTCAATTTAATATAAATATATATTTATATTCATTCACTTTAATCTTGCAATATACATTCAATTTAATCCTGCAATATACATTAAAAAAAATCTGTATTTTATAAATTTATTAAACACACCTCTTTGGGCCGACGTGAACTTTGTCTGTTAATACAAAAGCAAGCAAATTTGTCTTGTAGATTTCAAATGAAACCATTCCTCTCCATTTCGCATTTCGAATAATAGACTCGGGATTACAAAATGCGAATGTAAACTCTCCATCTAGTATTGCTTTCTCGTCCTCTTCGTTTGACAGTGAAGTAACACGGCATCCACGCTTTCTTAGTTCACGGACGTGAGAGTCAATGAAAGAGTTCAATTTGCAAATGACTATTAAGATGGGTTTCTCCAGAAAATTGTGGCTTTTGCCAAGTCGTCGTGCTACTCTCGGTGTTAGAACTTTGGAATATTAAACTCTTCCCATAACCGATAGCAAGATGCAAATACATCTTTAATGTGAATCAAATTGGACAAGGCGCGGTATTGATGCTCCGTTAAACTTTTAATTCAGGAAATTTATCAATCTATCTATTAATGCAGCCTATAAAACTGCTTCTTTCAACTTTTGTTCGTTTATTTAATAATATAGACATTTCAAAATTCAAATGTTTCAATTCAATCAAAACACGAAACGCCTGCGAACAGGCTATGATGTTTACAATATCCAATCAGAACACGTAGTCTATCGAACCTATAGTCAGCAGCCAATCAACTCTTTGCTTCCATTTTTGAAAGTTATGTGTGGAATGTGAACCCAAAAACTACGGCAATTTCACCAGAGGGTTATTCAAAACAGGCGAAAATAAATACCCTCTGGTTCCAGGGTACGTTTGATACTGTAGATCACAAAATCTTGTTAGGTAAGCTTAATGCATATGGCATCAGTGGAGTAGCTGGAAATTGGTTTAGATCTTATCTTAGTGAAGTCAACAAATGTGTTGTGTTAATGGTCATTCTTCGAATAGTCATTTCCTTCAATGTGGAGTTCCCCAGGGAACTATATTAGGTCCACTTCTATTTTTAATCTACATCAATGACCTACGGTGGTGGGTAAAGGGCCACCTCTGCTCTATCGGCGACTGTGCATGCAACTGTGCTGCAAGGAAACACGACTGTGCTGCATGGAAACACAACTGTGCTGCATGGAAACATGACTGTGCTGCATGGAAACACAACTGTGCTGCATGGAAATGCGGCTGTGCTGCATGGAAATGCGACTGTGCTGCATGGAAACACAACTGTGCTGCATGGAAATGCGGCTGTGCTGCATGGAAATGCGACTGTGCTGCATGGAAATGCGACTGTGCTGCATGGAAATGCGACTGTGCTGCATGGAAATGCGACTGTGCTGCATGGAAATGCGACTGTGCTGCATGGAAACGCGACTGTGCTGCATGGACATGCGACTGTGCTGCATGGACCATAGATGGACCATGCTACTGTGCTGCAAGGAAATGCAATAAACATTGTTTTCTAAATATAGAAAACTTCCCCCCCCCCGGCTAGAATGTTTATTCAGCCGACGGGGTCACGGGGGGGATGAAAAGTTTCATGACACCACGACCACGAGGACGTCTGTCTCGACGAGGAATATCGAAATTCGAAAAGCATAAAATTTAAAAGAAAATATATCGAAGATTCGAAGATAAATTATGGTTTCAAAAATGTCTTGAAATTGACAATGAAATCGTGTTGCCATTGTGGGGAGCATTTCCCAGACAAGACAAATTTTTGTTCAAATTGTGGGAAGACGCTGCTCAACAGTAAGTATCCTGTACCATTGTTTAATAAATTATGTATTTAAAATATATTATAAATGCATGGATGGGAGGTGTATATTAAATAAGGAGTCAAAGTCGAAGTGACGAACTCCAAATCTATAATGTGCATTTGGGATAATTGTTTTACTGACATATTGTTTGACATTGAAAAGTCGGGAGTTTTATAATCTTGTTCTTGTATATATATTTATATATAATTATATACTGTATATGTATTATGTGGAGCTACTGTCTAAGAGCCTGTTTATATGGAAGCCGGGCTGGCCCGCTTAGCGAGACAGCCTGGTAGCAAAATTTTCGCTGTGTAGTTATTTTTATACTAGTAAAAATTATTGTGCTGTTTGTGATGCTACTCTGAGTACATGTATATATCCACTCTGGGGGGTTGCAATTAAATTTGAAGGAATTTGCTTAAATTAATAACCTGGTATCCATTTCGTTGTAAATGTTGCAACTAAATCATGGTCACTTTGCCTAGCTGCAGCAAGTTTAGCACTTCGATACCTTTTCCCCACCCATGTTCATTCTAGTAGTATATATAGTGTATATCATTTTATTTTATATAATTTTTAATCTCATATAAAGTAGGATGTATAGACCACTATACATTGTATTTCGTAGGTATGCCTTGGCAGAATTGTCATTACTATCTCCTTTTGCTGCTAATATTACTGATTGTTGCTCTCATTGTTGCCGCGCAGCGCCTATGGCAATACTTCGTACCATCAAGTCTAGTTGCAGCCTTAACCATGGTTACAATCGCCCAGACCAAATGGAAACCTGATTTTAGTGTTCTATATAAAATTACTCTTTTAATTATAATTTTCTGCTAATATTATAATATATATTTTTGTTCGACGTTAATATCTTGCCAGTTCCATATTCTTATTTAATAATTAACACTATAACGCCTGGGTAAAAATAGGGGGAGGGGGGGTCAAAGAAAAAATTCTTATATGCAGGGGGGCATCATTAAAATTCTGCTCTTTTAGGGGGGCTTTCAATTTTAAAAATTTAGAAAAGAAAAAATTCCCCTCCCCCCCTTCCATAAATAATGACCACAATTGCTCACAGAGACCTTTTGAATTGAGATTGAAATATGTTGAGAAAATCTTATTAGCAACAATACAGCTGTAATAATTCATGTGAACTGAGCAATGTGCCAATAACACTTGACCCAGTTAGGCGAGCCAGCATATTCACCAAATTGCAATTGAGGGGGGGGGGGGAGGGCAAGGGTATTTTTGTGACTCGTGATTAGCAATTATTCGTGATTTGAAGAAATACCATTCCGTGAATCATGATTAATAATATGCGTGCCGTGAATCGTGAAGAGCTAGAAGGGCTAGCTAGGGTCCTGAATTTACCAATATTTTACCCTAACTTGTGAATGTTTACGTTTAAGACTCGGCCCAAATTTAATATTTAGGTTAAAAAAATGAATAAATTTGCTTTCCGCTGTTATCTTTCTCGAGGTTTCTTTGTTTCATCGTAAACGTCGTTGTCGTATATCTTCGTACCTCTTCATTGACTTCGTGAACCATCGTAAGACGCTCGTAATGTTTCGTAGTGCCTCGCAATGATTTCCACAGTCCTTTAAAAGCTCTAATGTTAAAGTCAGTAAAATGTGTTTGTGTTAACATCGATTTCTGCTGTCTAGAAAATCGTTAAATGGTTTCAGACTTTGTTACGCTTCTCAGGTGTTTCTAACCCTTACAAAAAAAATCTATAGGCCTAGCCTAATTAGGCCAACCTATAGGTTCCTATAGGAAACCTATAGGTTTTTATAGACAATTGGAACATTTTCTATAGGTGACCTATTGGGATGCCTACAAGCCTATAGAGCTCTATAGGTGCTTGAAGGCTTCTATAGGGAATTGGAACTCGAGGCGGGATCTCACTTAGGAAGGACAGGTTCCCATATAAATGCAAAATGAAATTTAAATAGCAGGAAATAATAACAAACGCAGGATCTTGCCTACTAAACTGGGCCAGCCCAGGTACGCCCCCATAGAAGCAAACCCATGACTCCAGAATTTTGTGGAAATACTACAGCTGGTAATTAATAAACAGGTTTTATCACGGAATAACAGTGGGTGTGCCTCTTTTTAATAAATTGCAAACAAAACTATGCTAGTTTTTAATGTTAATAGTATTAGAGCCAACATTCCATGGGGGAGATCCCACTGGAGCCTTTGTCCCCCTTGCAGCAGAATGTAGCTCCATTTTAAGATTGGTTGCCTCCATAAAATAAAATCTACAGGTACACATTAATGCACTTGTAAGGATCATAGGGTTTGAATAAACTCACCAGTATTACTATTAGTGTATATATACGCCTTGATCCACAATACAGCATTCAACCAAAATTGTAGCCGATTGGTCAAGCCTGTTTTTCCTTAGGAACAGGGTACTAACCAAACCAGCGATGAAAGTCTAATATATATTTTTTATTACATGAAGTTTTTGTACAAGATAACACAAGTTTTAATTCCCAACAAGGAAAGTCCTATAGGAAAGTGCAAAATCATTTCATGCAACCAACCGTCCTAACCTCCCCCCCGCTCTTCCCTGCCAGTCGGTACTGATACCAGTTTTTAAAAACCTATGGTGATGTGGAAGAATTTTAAAGCCTTATTTTAATTAGTGCGATGCTTATAGTACATTTCTTGGTTTTCATTGTTTATAGATGACTAGATACCAATGAATGAATCAGAAGAGAAAGATATTATACAGTATTACTTCCATCGTGGTTTTACGTATGAAGTAATACTTGATTTTTTACAAACGCACCATGGAATATCCATAAGTTTACGTACTCTGAAAAGAAAACTTGATAAATATGGGCTGAAGAGACGAAACAATTGCATAGATGATTATACAATTAGGAACCTTATTAAAATTGAAATAGCAAATGCTGGAGAACAATCTGGATACAGAACAATTTGGCATGCGCTTAGACTTGTTCATAATGTTCATGTCCCAAGAGACTTGGTTGCACGTCTTCTCAAGGAACTGGATCCAGAGGCGAGCAATGCTAGGAGATCTAGAAAATTAAAAAGGCGAAAGTATCTGTCACCAGGCCCAAATCATTGTTGGCATGTGGATGGTGAGTTAAAAACTTTGGCCCCTAAATTGTATTAGATGGGATATATGATCAAAGAAATGTAATCAGACAAAAGCTCTATTATTAATAATACAACTTTTCCAATGGACTATATCAATTATATTATAGCTAGATCAGCGAGTTAGTACCAATTACCACAAAATAAAAATCTTTCTGTTTTATTTACTTTCAGCTGTTTTAAGGCAGACTGATGATATTATAAGCAGACCTTTCCAAATTGTAGTTTCTGGCAAAAAGGAAATAATCGTCTTTTAATCGTTTTAAGTGTCTCTGGCAGTGTTATTTTGCATGTAAATGCACTAGACGGTACATAATGGAGATTTATGGCTTAGTACAGTATAATGTCCATATATATTTATTGTTCACAGGTTATGACAAGTTGAAACCATTCGGTTTTCCTGTCCATGCCGCTATAGATGGCTACAGCAGAAGAGTATTGTGGTTGGAGGTAGTGCGGTCCAACAATTTACCTGATGTTCCAGCACGACTTTTCCTTGACACAGTAAAAGAAGTTGGTGGATGCCCTCTTTTAATAAGAACTGACTGTGGAACAGAGAATGGAAAAATGGCTGCAATACAATGTTATTTTCGATCTGAAGGGGAGGACGAATTTGCTGGGGAGAATGCTCATAAATACGGCACATCAACAAGGAACCAGCGAATTGAAAATTGGTGGTCCCATTTTCGAAAAATGCGATCCCACTGGTGGATCAACTTTTTTAAAGATATGTCGAGCTCTGGTTTATTTGATCTGGCCAATGACCTCCAAAGAGAATGCCTCTGGTTTTGTTTTTACTCAGTTTTAAACGAAGACTTTCAGAAAACCAAGGATGCCTGGAATTCGCACCACATACGACCATCGAGGCATGATTGTGTTTCAGGGTCTCCTGAGATACTTTTCTTCTTACCTGAGAGATCAGGAGCTGTTGATAACCTACAAGCAGTTCCCGATGCGAAAATTGTAGAAATGGATATCCAACACGAGGTCAATGAAGAAGAGAACGAGTACCAAGAATACTTTCACTATGTAATGGAGCATGAAGAAATACAGTATCCAAGTAACCCAGAAGAAGCTTTTAATCTTTACCAACGTTTAATGAACATAGCAGTGTCATAGTTAAAACGCACCTACATACGTACTATAGGCTGCGTTTTTTTCTTCGGAGCATGACATGAGGTAATTAATTAAGGTGGCTCCCTACATTTTCTAAAAATGGAAGTTTTTCAATTTGGATTTGAAAATTTTTTTCAGTTCAATCTTTGATATAGTTAATAAACGTAGGAATTTTTTCCCGTGAGCTCCACCCTCACGAGCACCACATCAAAAACTCCCAATTTTTAAAGAGCACCGAACGAAGAAATACGGTATGTAGTATAGTGTTTAGAATTTAATATTAATGTGGAATATAAAAGAACAAATACTAAGTAAACTCAACTATTTTCTGAACAACAATCATTGACGCCCAGAATTGCCCAAATATAACATCAACTTTAATTTAATTACTTAAGGCCTGTTCATATGGGCAAAAGTTATCCCGGTTAGCGAGAAAACTTTCGACAAGTTTACAAGCGAGATCTCGCCTTGGCATGAAAATAATATAATGAGACAAAAAGCTTGTTGACAAGCGAGATCTCGGTGACTGGGATAATGTTTTTCCCATGGCATATGAACACAACTTTCCCGTTTAGCGTGTCAGCAACTTATCAATTCAATCGATGTTCAGTGCTGAGTCACAGCCGGAAATTTTACCCGGTAAGCGGGATAACGTTTCTCCATGTATATGAACAGAACAAAATTATTTGGCCTGTCGAAATGCTTTCTCGCTAACCAGGATAACTTTTCCCCATATGAACAGGTCCCAAGTCCATGCTTCCATGTAAATGTGACACCGACTTTGACCCTTTGTGTCAGTTCTGAAAAAATCAACTTATTGGCATTGCCAAACCGAACATTAACTATTTAAACGAAACAAACGCCAACCTCAAATTGGCTTAAATTGACCGATAGACAATTCGGTGAGCAGTAAAATCTGCATTCACAAATTACCAAAACCAACGCTTTCAACGACAGCAGAATTAATTAACATATTGAAGTCTTCTTGACCATGGCAATGTACCGGTAAAGTAATGCTCAGATCGCATGTGGATGACGTAGGTCTGCATCTGCACATATCAGGACAGCCATGCTTAAATTTAACTGTCATCAACCCAGTAAAACCAAGAGGAGGAAATGCCCTTGTGCCAGTAATGAATTGTAATAGTTTCGGTAGATTACCTGCAGGATTTTCTAAAGAACATAAACAGGAATCTTAGCGTCTTATTAATGTTAAATATATATGCATATATACCATAACACTATTTGTTTATATAGATAAGAGGGTTTAAAATATTATCTTGCCCAGTCCCATTGGACATGTTATATATCATTTCAAAGCTTATTACGTACTCTAAACAAATAGCATTACAGATGCCATCCCTCTGATGCCCTTCAGGCAAAAACATAATAGCAGCCCGCCAGCCGACTTTCGCACTTCGTATATATGAAATCACATATCGTACTAAATAACACCGCTCAAACAATGACGGTGCCTTTAAGGTGGCTTGCCCCCTTTAGACGATACTCCAGAGCAGGTTTATGTAATAGAAAAACAGGAACCAAAAATGAAATAAAGAACCTTACCTGGATCATCGCAATCCTCAACGTAGTCACTAAAAAACTTAAATATATTAATTTCAACTTGTTTGTAATTAGAACCTGCTTCGCTGAAGTTTCCAACAATATTTTCCAGGAATAATTCAGCATGAACCGAGAACGTGGCAGAACTTGTGAACACTTGTTCTAGTAGTTTGGCATTCTGCTTAATGCATCCAAGCATTCCAAACGAACGCAAACCCTCCACCATTTGGTCTAACATGGGCATTTTTGAGCTAAATTCGTACATAACAATTGACCTAACAAATGTAACATAAAAAATTATATTCTAATTAACAATTAGATTATGAGTTCAAGATTTCTATGAGGTTAAAGTCGATAAGGGCGAAGCTGAATCAACTATCACTTCATAGCAATCGAGAGCGAATAGACAATTTAGTAAAAACCAGTAAGAAAACTACATTACAAAACCTTTTTACATGTTATTCGTAATAAAATTACGAAAAATCCCGCCGAGGAGGCTGTTTCGAATAGATCGCGAGTAGTGACGAATAGATAGCGAGTAGCGTAACCAATCAGAATGCAGCATTTTTATTAGAATTCGAGTGCGTTTTTAGTACTAATCAACAATTAGATTACGAGCTCGAGATTTCTATGAGGTGATAGTTGATGAGGACGAAACCCGAATCAATTATCACTTCGGAAATTGAGAGCGAGTGATCTAATTGTTTTAGTAGAATCTCAAGTAAACAATCAGGTTCGTCCTCAGAGTCCGGAGTTGGGAAAATGATTGTTTTGCTACTCGCTATCTATCGAGGAAATAGTATTAGTATAATTCTAATGACAATTAGTAAAAACTTACTCGAGTTCTAATGCAAATCTGCATTCTGATTGGCTACTAACTAAACTCGTTATGTATTCGTCGATTCGACTATCACCTCATATCTTGAGCTCATCATCTAATTGTTATTATAACATAGCATTTGTAAATTCTGAACGCTGATTGGCTAAGAGTCGTGTTGATATAACTCAAATCAATGTCAACACGGAAACGTCGGAAAATTTCTTTCTTTGTGCTATATTATAAAACAAACATGAAACATTTTTTCCGTATTGATATACAATTATATCAACACTTGCGGAAATTGGGAAAACTCGAAATTGTGTGAAAACACTCAGGCCAAAAAAATATGTGGGTTTCTATTTCTTCTTGTAAAAACGTAGTTAGGGTAGGTCGGTTTTAACTTTTTTTTTAACTTTTTTTTTTAATTTTCCTAACAACCGGACGCCATTTTGTTTAGTCAGTGCTTCCACATTTAAAGATAAATTTCCCTAATATTGCCTCAAATTTTCATTTTTCACAAACGTTTCCTCTAAGTGGAAACACTTACAAGCATGACCCAATAAAAAAGATTTCGGCGTCCAAAAGCTAGGTAGAGTCGGGAGAACGGAAACCCACATTTTTTTTGCCTCAGCCCATCGGGTGTCGTGATTCCACACGATTTCTCGTTTTCCCAATTTCCACTCGTGTTGATATAACTGTATATCAACACGGAAAATGTTTTATATTTGTTAATTATAGTATAGCATTTGTAAATTCTGAACGCTCATTGGCTAATACATCATCCAATCCCATGTTAATGTACTTCAACATTATATGTATCTCAAGAGTCAAGTATTATTTACCTCACAATTGCATCTCTGGAGGCCAAAGTTTCCCTTGATGGCACTCCCCGATAGCCCACTTTCTCAAGTATATCAAAAACCTCGTCTAACATTATGGTACTTTTGAATGCTCCATCATCATTGCATTCACGTAACTACAAAGCAAAGCATAACAATATACTGCATTTGTCAAAATATTCATTGAAAACAATATATAAAATTTTTCTGTGTTGGTGTGATGTACTCATGTGAATATGATGCTTGTGATGTTACTCTGAGTGTATATCCACACCGGGCAAGCTTGAAAAATATACCTGTCCACGGTGGAAATCGAACCTACGACCTTTGGAATAGTAGCCCAATGCTCTGCCAACTGAGCTACGCGGTCATGTCGGTTCGAATATGTGATATTTCGGAACAGAATCTAGTTCCTTCGATATTAATGTAATCTAGCAATAATGATTTTTTCTGTGTTGGTGTGATGTACTCAGGTGAATATGATGCTTGTGATATTACTCTGAGTGTGTATCCACACCGGGCAAGCTTGGAAAATATGCCTGTCCACGATGGGAATCGAACATGCGACCTTTGGAATATTAGCCCAATTATGCTCTGTTCTGTTCCGGAATATCACATATTCGAACCGACCTGACCGCGTAGCTCAGTTGGCAGAGCATTAGGCTAGTATTTCAAATGTCGTAGGTTCGATTCCCACCTTGGACAGACATTTTTCAAACTTGCCCGGTGTGTATATACACTCAGAGCAACATTTGTCAAAATATTCATTGAAAACAATACATAAAATTTTATTTATTGCAATGATGTATATTTCGCTTTGAAAAATAAATATACTGTAGGTGGTGTTTTATACAAACTTGAATTTACCCTATATTGATGCTAAATTAACGGAAAATCACATGGGTCGAAACTATTGCTGGTATAATTGTATGACCTGCCTCGCTGATTACAGTTCTAAAAACTCGGAGATCCCAAGGATAAGTTATAGCCAGGTACTGTACCTTATTGATGGCGTTTTTCATGTGCAGATCCTCCACAATTTCGTCAGCATCATCCGCCCTAACGCTCCCAACACCATTCACAATGTAGGCATACATTGAAGAGCTCAGAAAGCAAGGTGCTGGGCCACCTTGAACAATAGAGCTAGCCATAATTTCGCCAGCAATTTTAAATTCTTCTTCTGCGAGAGCTGCCATGTTAACAACTGGAGAACCATTGCAAAACAGCCTTCGGTTCACTTGTTCCAATGCCTCTGTTTTTAAAAGTCATACTGATTAGTAACGTCAATAAATCAATCAATCGAAGCGCAAATTGCCTCAAAATTTTCAGTGGTTGTTCCATATGGACAACAAAAGTTTGAGCCACCATTTTGTTTCTTTGTCTGCATGATTGTGATTGATAGCTGGAGGCGGAGTTGAAACAAATGAATTTGGATTTTGGTAGTTCACCTGGCTGGTTGGCTTTCTTGATCTAACAAAATGGCTACCTTTTAATTACTTTTTAAATTTTTGGCAACTTAATTGAATAACTTTTTACTCAAAAATGTCTACCTACTGTATACTTTTGAATAAAAAATGGAAGGAAAAAAAAACATGATACACGCCATCACCCCTTCCCCAGTTTACTTTTAGTTTAGTTTAATATGTTTATCGCTCTCACATGGACGAACAGCCTAAAAACAAGTTTTACAACCCAATGGACGACTTACGCTTTAGAAAAAAATTTAATCTGGGAATTACAAAGGATATTTTCTGAAAGAAGTTATCAAAATTAGAAAAACTGCAAAGTTTGGTTGTGAAATGTTGTAAAATACGGAAAATATAGCCCTGCGAAGTTGGTAAATTTGTATACATTTCTCTTACGTGCGGAAATTGGTAACTAATTTAGTTACCAATTCACGCACGTAATACAAAAGTATCCAAATTTGCCAACTTTGAAGGGCTATATTTTCCGTATTTTACAACATTTTGCAACCAAACTTTGTAATATTACTAATTCCAAGACACTCTTTCCAGCTGTGGCGATAGATTTCGTTGTTCTTACTTAAATTAAAATTTAGTCTAAAGCGCAAGTCGTCGATTGACAAAGCCAGGTTTACAAGCTAAGGTACTCAGAGAATATATATCTCCTCAAAGCACAAGAGAGAAACAACCAAACTCAGCATATACAATACATGCATGCATGAGTTGTAAGCACATGGAAGTTACTGAACCAAAGTAAATTCCATGTTCCTGACCTGCTGTAGACTTGCTCCAAGTCTCTCTTTCATTGTCATATCGATCCACTATAGTGTACATAACATATTACGTAGTACGGAGGGGCGCAGTTTTCCTTCAATTTCTTTCTGTATTATTTACTATAATGGAACTCATGTTATTTACACTATGCTAGATCAATACATATAAACACTGACAGAAAACAACTAAAGCAAGTCTTGCATTTTCGGTTCAGTTTTGAACCGAGATTTTCCGAAGTTGACAAGTCTCTCTTTCTCGCTCCGCCCCTCCGTACTACGTCATGTAATGTACACTATAGTGGATCGATACTATATGACAATGAAAGAGAGACTTGGAGCAAGTCTAGACCTGCTGTAACCAGTCTTAGTTACTGTAACTCAGGGATAAAAAGCAACCTGCATGTGCTCTCGAAGTTACTATCTCCTTCCACTTTCAGGGGTCAAAAATCAAAATTGTATTCACTAAATGATCTGCTTTAATTTGTCAAGAAAATCTTGATTATAATGATTCATGCACTACATACCTGAATAAAATTCACGCCGTGGTCCTCCGTCATCGACAGCTGGCTCGCCAATAAAAGATATTTTCAGCATCCCGTTTGGGTGAAACTTTCGGCGTGGCTTTCGGCGTGCAGCAGCGTAATCCTGAAATGCGTATCGTCTGCGGATAGACAATCTATTTACATTTTGGTCAACATTGGTCTGAAGTACGATTATAGCTTCTTTAATTTGTTCTCTTAATGCGTTACTAGCATTATCATTTTTGTCGCCAGTGATTGGAGCTTGCAAAGGGTTTTCAAGACATAACAGGTGCATATCCTCATCACCAGGTATTTCCGATTCTGTTTCAATATTTACTGTGCCAATAGGATCAAATTGTGATGCGCAAACATCAGCGTGCGTTTCAATCTCACCGACTGGAAACTGTTGATAGCATGTGGGGCACGCGACTGCAACATTCTTCTCTGCAGTTGACTGGTAAGTACATTTTGCATCTGGAGGAATATAATCATCATTTTCATTATTGAATAAGAATGGGCGAATGGGCTGAGTGTTTTTTAACATGGATAATTTCCTGCCACCGCTTGACTCTGACTGATCGTTTTCGTATTCCCGTTCCAAACTGTCTTCCGAATTGATGTCTGCTTCAAATTTTTTAAGACAATCCACATGACATAAATAAAAGTTTATCCTTGAATATGGCTTTCCTAAGTCCTTTTTGTAGTCTTTCAAAGAAAAAAACTCACTAGATCCTGGGAGTAAATTTACCGTTGTGTTATCGGGATAAAGCAAAACAAAGGATTCCATATCTCCATTGAACGAACGAAAATGTTTGTTGTGTTTCGCTAATGCCATTTGAAGTAGATCATTCGCGTTAATGTTATTATTAACGGCAACTGGAAGAGTTCTTCCTTTTAGCATTTTAAGAGTACCATCTCCACTAAATTCTTTAATACCGATTTGTATTTTAACGACTTCTGGCTTGTCATTTTGCTTGGCTTTGCAAGATTTAGCCTTCTTTGGTAAAACATTTGTTCTGCTGGATTCTTTTCGTTTTCTAAATTGCTCATACGTTAGGGGGTGGCGATTCCCTGCACTCTCAGACTCGTGTTTTGAGGAAGTAGAAGTTTGAGGTATATTAGATAAACCTGGAAGTGGAAAAGCATTAAATTAATGAACTCGTCTAGTTTAAGTGTTTAACCTACTGTAAGTTTGAAGAGTCATGGAGAAATCCCCCCCCCCCTGCCAATTAATTATCACAATTATCACAAAATATAAACTTCCAAAAGTGGGTGCATTGCATACAATACTAAATGCTGTGCTTTATGTTTTCAAAATTTACAATGGACACTGTTCAAAGGTACAATAGATTACAATATATATGTTTTCTCTTTTATAATTGCTCTCAAACAGAACTGGTGAGCCTAACTATCCCATCCCCTGTAGCCTGCTCGCAGGCCGTTGTCAGACAGAGGCTGGGAGGAACGGCCTGCGACCTTTATTAGTAAAAAGTCGATTTATGCGCACGGAGCGTACGCAAAATTCCCATTGGTCAGAAGTGCCCCAAGAGTTAATATCGTGTAAATATTTAACTCGTACGACATTTCGAAATGGGTAATTTTAGCTTGCATTCAATCAGTGGTGTTAAAACCACAGAATAAAGATCAGTACCAGAAGGGCCACTCAGCGGTGCAACGTGTCGCCATTTTTCTATGCAAAAATATGCAGTTGACTGGCCAGAAGGCGCCCGGGGCCTTCAGCCAATACAGCGCGTTTATTGGCCAGAAAATGTAATCGACTGGCTAGGAAGATGGCGGCCAGGGTGGCCCTTCTGTGTGCCTTATTCTGTGGTTAAAACCATGACTTTGTTTATCTCTTCGAAGAAGTAACTGAATGTATTCGAGAAACCTTTCAATTTAAATTAATGTTGAAGGATGAGCAAAGGTTAGCAACAACTGTACTTCCAACGGGATTTGATAAAAGTTTAATATACCAATACTTTGTCTTCGTCAGCTATAAACCGGGGAAATAGACGTACAAGGGGAAACTTCGACGTATGCCTTGCTGATCCTTTGCAGAGAAAGTAAAATAAGTCTAGTTCAGGCTGACAATTTATCTAACCGCGTTTGCGTCACTTCGGCAGAAAGCTTCGAGACTTCTGTGTGTTTTCAAAAGAATTATTACCAACGTTGAACAAGCCCAGCGAGACGTTCGTTGAGACACAGGCAGTGAATCAGGTATAGTATAAAAGCAGTTGATAGTCAAATGCCTCCGAACATTTCTCGCAAATACTTATCTGTCAACCCAAGGCTTTCTGCCTCAACAATCTGGTCTTGAATAAGCCAAGACAATGGGCAAATTATTAGAACAGACGCCACCGAGGAAAGTCGTTCTTATATAGAACACCTGGCCAATTTGAATTTACACCTGCAAATTCTGCAATAGTCGTTTGCGTGTTCTTTGATCGAAGTCCGCTCGCTCTTTGAGACTTTCTTTTTGGGACTCTCAACTAGTGACATATATTATTACAACAAGAGCTTTTTACAAAAAAATGTAGTTATTAAACACGGCAGAATCGATGCCACGGCCACGGGTTTTCAAATTGTCTATTGAGTAGTTAATTGTATTATTGAGCAGACTTCACGCAATAAATGTAAACATTAAAAACTATAAATACTAGTTGTTACACTTCACCTGTAAGAACTGTTTGCTGTTGTTTTTTAGCCTGCTATTGTTCGACACTTTTAATAAATAGTGCTTGTTCAAAAGCTATTAAAACACGTTTCCTTAAATCTTACAGTTATATTTTGGATATAAATGTATAAAATACATTAATATAATAGAATAAAATTTTACGTGTCTGTAGTATAGTAGCATAATTTAAAACGGTAATGTACGAACAAGACAGCAATATACAAGCGGGACTATGTTTTAAATATTAGAACATTTTAGGAAAAAAACGGCGGCCATGCATTATTTTAGATTAAAGTTTAGACCTTGGAATCCTAGTGAAAGATACAGGTAAAATTGCTCAAGAAACTGTTTGTTGTTGTTAATAACCTCTGGTAATCTAATTAACAAAACTTACATTGATTGGCTACTATTTACCGGATATTCAATGATCTCAAAGGGGGCGTATTGAAAAAATATCAATAAAAGTCGCAGGCTCTATATATAGAGCCTGTGAGCAAGCTACATCCCCTGAGGCAGGGCAACAAGTGGGTGGGCATCACTGCCATCACACTAATTAAATTAAGGCTCTCATGCACACTTATCACACTAATTAAATTAAGGCTCTCATATGGAAACACCCACAGGTTTTCATTACCTGGTGATTGGCAGGGAAGATGGGGGGAGGGGTTAGGAAGGTTGTCCGCATGAAACATGTATGAACTTTCCTATTGTCCTGGTGAGTTTATTCAATAGCTTACCAAAGATCAGTCAGTACAAGTGCATCAATGTGTACCTGGACATTTTATTTTATGGAGGCAGCCAATAGAGCTACAATCTGCTGCAAGGGGGAGACAGACTCTACTATTGTTAAAATTAGCATATTTTTGTTTGCATTATTAAAAAGATGCAGTGGTTTGTTTTGGCAAGCCAGCCCTTCTTCAAGTCTTGTGGGATAAAATCAACTTGGTAAAGTGAGCTAACTATGATACCAACACTGGATCACATACATATGAACATCCCCTTAGGGCCTGTTTACATGGAAGCCAGGCGAGACAGCCCGGTAAGCAGGATGAATTTATCTTGTATTCATATGAGAAAATTTCATCCCGCTTGCCGAGACAATTTTGATACATTGATATTGTTTTGACAGTTGTTAAAAATAGCTTGCAGCAGTGCCTTTGAACTTTGAGTGTTTATATGGAGAAATTCCCATCCTGGTAAGCAAGATCTCGCCTCTTTCAAGCAAGATCTCGGCAACCCGCTTGTCCATATAAAAGCACAATAATTGGCCTAGTACTCCAAAGGTCATAGGCAAGGTCGTAGGTTCAATTCCCACCATGGCCAGGCATATTTTTCAAGCTTCCCCGGTGCGGATATATACTCAGAGTAGCATCACAAACAGCACAATAATTTTTACTAGTATAAAAATAACTACACAGCGAAAATTTTGCTACCAGGCTGTCTCGCTAAGCGGGCCGGCCCGGCTTCCATATAAACAGGCTCTTAGACAGTAGCTCCACATAATACATATACAGTATATAATTATATATAAATATATATACAAGAACAAGATTATAAAACTCCAGACTTTTCAATGTCAAACAATATGTCAGTAAAACAATTATCCCAAATGCACATTATAGATTTCGTCACTTCGACTTTGACTCCTTATTTAATATACACCTCCCATCCATGCATTTATAATATATTTTAAATACATAATTTATTAAACAATGGTACAGGATACTTACTGTTGAGCAGCGTCTTCCCACAATTTGAACAAAAATTTGTCTTGTCTGGGAAATGCTCCCCACAATGGCAACACGATTTCATTGTCAATTTCAAGACATTTTTGAAACCATAATTTATCTTCGAATCTTCGATATATTTTCTTTTAAATTTTATGCTTTTCGAATTTCGATATTCCTCGTCGAGACAGACGTCCTCGTGGTCGTGGTGTCATGAAACTTTTCATCCCCCCCGTGACCCCGTCGGCTGAATAAACATTCTAGCCGGGGGGGGGGGAAGTTTTCTATATTTAGAAAACAATGTTTATTGCATTTCCTTGCAGCACAGTAGCATGGTCCATCTATGGTCCATGCAGCACAGTCGCATGTCCATGCAGCACAGTCGCGTTTCCATGCAGCACAGTCGCATTTCCATGCAGCACAGTCGCATTTCCATGCAGCACAGTCGCATTTCCATGCAGCACAGTCGCATTTCCATGCAGCACAGCCGCATTTCCATGCAGCACAGTTGTGTTTCCATGCAGCACAGTCGCATTTCCATGCAGCACAGCCGCATTTCCATGCAGCACAGTTGTGTTTCCATGCAGCACAGTTGTGTTTCCATGCAGCACAGTCATGTTTCCATGCAGCACAGTCGTGTTTCCATGCAGCACAGTTGTGTTTCCATGCAGCACAGTCGTGTTTCCTTGCAGCACAGTTGCATTTCCATGCAGCACAGTCGCGTTTCCATGCAGCAGAGGTGGCCCTTATCGGCCACCGTACATTAGTATACTGCTGTGTTTGGTATGATTGTAGTTATTCGTGAGCTCGTCTATGGCATCGATCCAATTGTAAGTCCCCTTGCTGTAGAAATACTTCCACATCATTGTCTTCAAGGTTCTGTTGAATCTTTCAACGATGGCTGCCTTTCTGTCAGAGTTCGTGGAAAAATAGCGCACGTTGTGTTTTTGTAAGAGGTTCCTAACACCAACATTGTAGAATTCCTTTCCCTCGTCGAACTGAGCAACTTCCGGATATTTCCCAAACCTTTTCTTGAATTCATCCAATAATAAGTTCACAGTCTTCGTCATATTTTTCGTATCTTTTCTGTAGACGGGAATAGCAAATCCGTACCGGCTCAGGATCTCTACAGCTGTTAATATCCAGTAATATCCTTTGTTCTGATTTTTGTATTTTTCCATATCCACTAAATCCATCTGCACCTGGTACCTGCACCTAGATATCCCTTAACCCTTGCTCGATAACAAAGTGTTTATCTTCCATTTTTATTCATGTGATATAAAATTCAAGAAGTGCAGACATATCAACCTTACCACCAATGTTCGTACTGATACTGAAGGTGAATCTGTTATGGGAACCATTATTAACATAAACCCTACTTCCAATATCCTTGAAAAATGTTGTTGCTCCGTTCAGATGCTGGTCAGACGGCACGGGTAATGTGCTCACTGTAAAACTTCCCTTACCGTTTACATCAAAATTTAGGGATGTATTAACAACATCACAGTCGATAGTAACATATTTAAGACCGTGATTAATATCTATAGGATAGGGGAATCCAATTAGTGGAGCAAATTTGTTTAAATGTACGTTCACCTTGGTTGCCGGATAGATCCTGCAGGTATTATTGTGTGTGTTACGTTCTATTGTTATTCCGTCTGCCTTCAGTTTTTTCTTTATTGCATCAAAGGTCCAGTACCCATCTTCGAAGGTAATCTTCTTTTGTCCATAGGTAATATTATCGTTGGCATTCAAACGTACGTTTTTATAAGCCCAGTAGATGGTTGCGTTCTTTAGGATTAATTCCGACTCTGCGTTCGTCGTAATACACTTGTCCGGGAAAAACTCGGTAGATCCATACACGATAAACACTGTTAACTTCTTCATTTTTATTACATGCATTAAATAAAATGAGTACCAGTGGAAACATATTCCGCGAATATTATGGACAGAACTACAAAAAAGTAAAGACGGCAATACCCGTAGAAATACGGAAGATGAAGGAGGATTTCAGGAAAAAATATCCGGGTGCAGAAATGTCTAAATTTGACTTCAAACCTTTAGTCATAACAGGGATCCACTTCCGTACAAAATAAATAGGTTTGAAATTTACGTTTGCGACTGCACCAGCACCTCTCACAACAGTTTTGTAACCAACTTTGCCGATCTCGACACAAAGTGGACTGGGACCGCAAAGGATATTACCAGGGTAAAGTTCAATTATATAAAAGACCCCTATTTTGCATCGATACTGGCTGCTTACATTATCACGTATAAGTGTGGAATAAGTACAGAACATCTGCTGGAAAGCAAGGGAACCTCAAAGATAATCACGAGTATTGCTAGGTATCACCTATACTACCACATGCGTAGGTCTCTCAGAAATCCGAGCAAAATGACAAAATATGTAACGAAAGATATGCTAAAATCCCTGCAGAGAAACATGCCCACACGGAAAACATGGGTTAACAAATTCCACCGAGGACAAATGGAAATAGGTCTCTGGCACAACAGGCTTCCAGATAAGAGTAGGGTTAGAAACTATAGATATTCATACTACCATAGCGGTGGTGTAATGGGAATTAGTTATCAGGAAGTAGACAGGGTCACTAACAACAGCGATACGGATTACACCTGGTTCATTGCCAAGAAATCAGACGGGTTGACGCCTTTAGGATTAAAGTTACTTCAACAGTCTGTCGAAAGTTATGTCTATTGCGTATTAGGTGCGCAAGTACAAACACGCTGGTCCATCGTTTGGGAAGGGAGCGAAGTCCCTGCAAACTCAGGACGTATTTCACAAACTTTTCAAAGACACCGTTGCGCAAGACGATGTATCGGTATCTATCTCCAACATGAGGAAAGCAATAAAGGATACTAACGTTGTATTTAACATGGCAATATCACCCGGATTAATATTAATACCGTCCAATATGATTATACTTAAGGAAAAGATAGCAGGATACAACAATACACTGACACTAGCAACAAAGGACATGAGGTTTGGTAGCAATGCGAATGTTAACTACTCAAAGCCTAAGGAGATAAAGAAAAGTCCGGATGTAAAAGTCCAAAACCCTATACCACACAAAGACCGGAACCCCATACCACATCCTGACACGGTAAGCATACTACCGAAAGTATCAAACAATCTGATTTACCTTCTCGGCACTATGTTTGTCGGTGGGGTTATCACTTCGAGATGGATTTTCTTTTCGTATTAATAAAAGAAATGAATAGCGATAGAATTAAAGTTAAGGAAAATTTAAAAAGGGATAGGACCGTCAACGTCGATATAAAACTCAGTAAAGGCGGACTGAATCTCGGTTACGTTAAATCCAAGACAACCAACATCAAGTACGTTACGTCGTGTAAGGAAGACAAAGCGGGACCGTCAACAAAAACTGTGAATGGAGAAAAACCAAAGTCAGCGAAAAATAAAAAGAAGAACAAATAAAAATGGGATGTTTACACACAAAACCCGAGACCATAGACGAAGTGAAGTACGACAAGAACCATCGGAAAAGGAAAATGTGCAGTTTCGGAATTGGTATAGAACGTGGTGATCTCACTATCAATGCTCACACCCAAATCGGATACGTTAGTACAGCGGTAAAAAAGTATGATAAAGTAAATGATCAGAACCCGGATACTGTGGAGACTAATATGGATGAGTCTGGTGTGCTGCCTACTCATCCCAATAACGGTTGAAATTCTTCTCATCATCATCACTCTTAAATTACTATTCCAATTTTAATGTTAAGTAAGCATTAAAATTTTACATAACGTCCTTTTTTTTACCAGTCCCCCACGTCACAGAACTATATACCGCTAGGCATCAGGTATACATCACTGCCTACAGGGACGATGACTGGTCAATGTATTCCCAGCCCAGTGTCCGGAATACTTTTTTGCACCGGTCGTGTGAAGCTTTGCTTACCGGAATATTAAGAAGCTTCTCGTTTAACTTTATGTTATGCCTTTTACATAGCTGGTAAGTTAGAATATTGAGATTAGGAAGTCTCTTTCTTTCAGGTTTTTCTGTCTCGTAAACTTTACGAATGTCTTCCGCTATCAAACGTCTTTCATGTGTCGATAAATCGGAATATGTTATTTTCCTCCTGGTACAGAACGATCTGAACCTATCATCAGTGTCCGTTTCCCGGTTTCTCACCACCACACTGCCCCTACAACCGTAGCCGTAACCGGGATTGAGGATCCTACCAACAACTAATCCACATGACCAACACATTCGAAACTTGCCCGTGGAGACGAGATGATGTCTGTGTCCCTCAGAGCAGAAATTCTTGTTCGGAAACTTCACAGGTTCCTCTAAAGCAAGAAGATCTAGATACTCCTTTTTCGCCTGTCCGAAGAGAGTCAACCAATTTGAGGGAGGCGGCTCCAACTGACGGATCTCTTCCGGTACTGTCATAGGAAAGTCCATATCTTTTATTATATGGAAAATTATTTCTTTAAGTTGGTTTCGAAATTATCTTAAGTTGATTTTGAAACTATTTAAGATTATGTTGCAACCAGCTCTGACTAGAATTTAACTAGACTTTAACTAGATGCTAAACCTAGTCAAGGTTATGTTGAAATCTAGCTAAGGTTATGCTGCAACTAGCTCTGACTAGAATTTGACTAAAATTTGACTAGATTTAACTAGAATTTAACTAGATGCTAAACCCAGTTAAGGTTATGCTGAAACCTACTTAGGGTTATGTTGCAACTAGCTCTGACTAGAATTTGACTAAAATTTGACTAAAAATTCTAAAAAGTAAGTATATTAAATAAAGCATGAGTGAACCGACAATAGCAAAAGCAGAAAAGACCCAAAGGCCGAAGGATCCGAGAAGGGTAGAATCAGGTAAAAGACTGGCTGCAATATCTAGGGAAGCAAAAGCAAGGAGGGTTGAAGAAAGACGTAACGCCGAAAATAACCTCGATCAAGGTGATTCGGTAAATACGTTGATTTACGCTGGAGTCACAGCAGCTGTGCTAGGAGGAATCTATTGTATATACCGTAGGGCTAGACCTGCGGACAAGCCCGATCGTATAGCAGAACCACAAGTACAGGATGAGTCGGACCGTAGGCAGAGCGAAGTGAAACCAAGGTTTGAAAAATTTAATAATTAATATACTATAATGAAAGGAATGGATGAAAGAAGTAAGGAACTTACGCCCGCTTTCAAAAGGGCACTGACCTCCAACGTTGTAGGGAACAGGGTATGTAACTTCGTTACATTCACCCCAAACGAATCCAACCCCGGGAACGACATCCGCATAGTAGTTCCAAAACTGGAACCAAACACCTGTATCGTTCCGGGCTCATTTCGCCTATCGTACGAGTTCAAGAACGAACACACCAAATCCTGGTTCATGAATAACCTCGGTAAACTCCTATGCGAGCGACTCATGATAAGGGTGGGAGGTGAAATAGTATACGACAATAACGGTGAAAGTCTCATCGAAGTCTACAAAGATCTCTGGAAGATGGATTCAAAAAGAGCGAACATGGTAGAATACGGAATTATGAACGAAAACACAAGAAAGATGTTATCGAAGGACGACAGTGCCGATCAGACCGCAAAGGAGGACGGCGGTTATGACCTGATGATGGCAAAGGTATACAAGGAGCAGAAAATGAAACTTGGAAAAATTCTTAATGACCATGATCCCTACGCACCGTACAACATGAAAAGTGGATTTGAGTACACGATAACCCTTCCAAAAGCCGACAAGATTATGGTTGCACAGTCAAACGAGAAGGTGGAAGGATATACGCTGAAAAACATACACCTGGAATACGAAACCATAGAGAACGAAGAACTAGCCAAACGAGTAAACGAAGGATACGAGACCGGTAGATCCCTATCCTACGAACATACAACACTGTTGAAAACAACCGTGTGGGCAAAGGGTGCTACGAGGTTCAACGAGAGCATAGACGTTCCGAGGGAAAGCATGAGGGCCGTGGTCTTACTTTTCAGAAAAAGAACAATAACCGACAGCGAGGAATACGTCTTCCCAAGTATGGAGAAGGTAAAGGTTACGATAGAGGGGAAACCAAATGCCGTATACAGTCAAGGCTTAACATACGAGAATTTCTACGACGAAGCAAAAAGACTATTCGGAATAGCCAACAACGCCTGCAACGACAACATAAGCGTCAGGAAATTCTACAGGGATAAATTCGCCCTGGTGATCGACCTGAGGGCTGTCGATGACAACCATATCGTTGGAAGTGGGAAAAAGATTCTTGGTGATAATCCCGGAATTCTTCTGGAGATCGAAACCGACGCAATGTCTGAAGACATCCTCTGTAACATCTTTGTGTTATCAGATGGACTCATAAACATCAGCGAAAAGACCCTTCAAGGTATTAGTTATTAAATAAAAGATGGAACCGCTGAAAACACCATTCAACATGATCATTCTCGGAATGACCGGATGTGGGAAAACATACTACCTACTGGAAATGTTGGAGAACGACTATAAGAACCACTTCGAGTACATATTTCTAATATGTCACACATACGAATGGAACAAAACGTACCAGAGCTGGAAATACAATAAGGATAAGGATTTCATAACCATACCCTGCGAGCAGGATAACGTAAATCAGTGCTTAGAATACGTTTCAAATTTTGCAAAAGGAACGGATAGCCTAATAGTCCTCGACGACTGTGCCAGTAGTCAATCCGTCAAAAACAGGACCAGCGAATTGGTAAAACTTGGGTTTAGCGCTAGGTATATGGGAATATCGACCACTGTCATTACCCAACAACTCACATCCATTGCGAAACCCTATAGGGAAAATATATCGAAACTCGTAACCTTTCACAACCCGAGCGCAAAGGATACGGACATCATATTGAACGACTACCTCGTCGGTTACGTAATACCATACATCCCACTCATCGGAATACTGAGTGGAGGAATCACCGTCGGGAAACATGTGATTAGCACAAAGGTGGGTTGTCCGGAAAAGGTGGGTTGTCCGGAAAAGGAGGAATAAAAAAACGCTGGGTCAATAGGTTTTAAAAAAACTTTTTTTATATATAACAAAAAAGGGACAATGAGTACCTACAGGAAAGTCCAACTGTACTTCGAATGTTCTGAAGAAACGGTGGAGTTCATTCTGGAAATGTGTGGAAACACAAACTTTATGGATGCTGGCATTACCTTCACGGACGAAGGAGCTGATAGGGAGGTAGACATTAGGTTCTGGCTCGTTGGAGGGACAAGCGCAATAATTATGGGTGTGAACGCAATCCCTTCCGGTCCGCCGATAGGTGTCGTCGTCTTCCTCACCATACGGGAGGATGTAAAGTTTGAAAATATAAACAACTTCACGCTGGACGGTCCGGGGTTTGGCATTAATTTAAGTCGGCCCAACGATTCCGCAGAGTCGTGGGTGTTTTCCATACCGTCCTTGCATTCCCGCTCCTACGGAATGGGAAATCTGTTTAGGATACGGTGGAAAGACCGGTCGGTTATGCCTATTGACTACGGAAACAGCTTACCGATCAGCGGTACTTATGCTCTTTAAATTTTAATGTTCTTACAAACATTAAAATTGGTTCTATCAAGATTTATGTATCCGATTAATCCCGTCGCTGTAAAAGCCTCTTCCTCGGTGCTTTGGGTTTTTCCTCCAATATATTTGCCTCATGCAACTTCACCTGGATGGAGGTTATGCTTTTGGACACGTAGATGCTCTCGATCTTGACGATAGCATCAAGACGGAACCTCTTGTCCTGATATTTCTTGTGGTCCACGGGTTCGTTCCCCTTTGGAGGGTAGATTTCCGTTTCGTTGTCAATCTTTACGTACAGGGTCGGAGCGCTACCCTTCCGGTAAAGGCATTTCATGATTTTCTCGCCCGGATTACCGACGTGATCTGCGGACTCCATTTCCACCAATTCCAGGGCTGACACAAACTCCTTTTTATCCCTCAGGGCTAGGGAGATGATGTAGTTGTCCTTACCGAACTTGTTGTTCTTGCTCACCCCATAGGACAAGCAGTCCTCAAGTTCTAGTAAAAGTGGACCCTTATCCCGTGCCGCTAATCTAACCTTTTCGGACCCGTAACTGTTTCCGACGGCATCTTCGAAAGTGAACGAGTCTTTGGAGAAGTCTGAGACTTTGGTGATTGACATCCTTTTTATTATATACCAAAAAGTAAAATTTTTTCATAAACTGCTGACTCAGCACTTTTATTTCAACCGCGCGGTGGGGAGGGTTTGGGGAGACTTTGGGTAGACTTAGGATAGACTCTGGCAAGACTTTGGGTAGACTTTGGGTAGACTTTGGGAAGGCTTTGGGTAGACTTTGGGAAGGCCACGGGTAGACTTAGGAGAGACTCCGGGCAGACTTTGGGTAGACCCTGGCAGGACTCCGGGTAGACCTATGTAAGGTCGCGGCAAGACTACCCAAAGCGTGGTGCGGCAGGGGGGGGGTTGCGGCATAGTTACGGGCAAGTTTGGGCAAGGCTGAATGCGGGGAAACAGGAAGTGACGTCATAGATCACGTGATCCTATAAACCGGAAGTGACGTCATAGTTCCGGGCAAGTTTGGGCATGGTGGACCGGAAGTGACGTCATAAATCACGTGATCCAAAATCTGCGCAGATGGGGTGCGCAGTGCGCACGTTAGCCTAGTGAGCTAGAACCCGCCATTCTATACTACTAACCTTATACAGGGATGGATTTACTGGGGGGGGAGTGCTATTTTTTATGATAAAGCAAAATAGACAAAATGAGATACAGTAATTTGAGTAATAACATGAGGATAAGTGAACTGTGAACAACAATTACAATTCAAATACAGTAGTTGATGGGCGGGCGGCACATATGACCGACACAACTTGGCAGTCGGCACCAGAGCATCCACCCTACCAGATTATGCTGGATCCATCCCTGACCTTATATGCTGTTAGATAGAGTAATATAATGAAAGGGCAGTAGGCAAGTAGGGCACATTGAAGTTTTGTACTGTAATGCTCCTCAAAATGTAAGACAGTAAAGCTGGATGAATGTAAAATATCACATTTATTACCATTTAGACTGCAAATGGTAATGTTAATTAGCTGTGCCGGGCTCTGCACTTATTACATTACTCTGTTCAGTACACGGTGACTTTACAGTGTTCTTTTTTTATATAAACAATACTAAAATGTTCTTCAACAATGAGTTCGTCATCTAGCATGTAGTGTCAGTATATATTTTCTTTTCCTTATGCAAGTCAAAGGCTACAAGAAATATACAACCTGACAAACATCTGCCCAAGCTTAATTTTTATCAGCCAATGAAAAGACCATTTCTTGCTGATGATTCCTTTCCGATAATGAATCTTGAATGAAGATCATCTAGCGTCACCAATGAATGGTTTGTTACATATAGCCCTCGTCAACATAATCCTAAGGAGGAATTGATATTATTAATGAATGGTGATTATGGGAAGCACTACGTATTTTCATAAAGCACACAATGGTAATTCTAGTCATCCTCAGCAATGGATCAAATTAGACACATTGATAACAGTGCCTTGTATACCCTAGTTGCAGTTAGCTTTTTCTTAAAGATGCAATGCTATTGATAGAACACCGATAATTCTCACAATGCTTTCATTAAAATTAAAATGCCCGGTCTCTCATTTCAACAAATCTGGGATCTGACCAACTGGGCTAATAGTTTGTGCAAATATGCTAATATTATTATGGCTCATTGGAACAGGCCATACAAATCAGGTTAAAATGACCAAGGTACAGTGTACATATTTAATTTGAAGCTACATGTAGGGATCGCCCCTCAGTGCCCCCACCCCACTCCTCCATTGGCAATGCTTGGATGTGAAAAGCCTATTCTTTATAGACCATGTACAAACTTCTTCACATTCATAATTCAATATTTAATATTAAGTTCAATGACTTCAATCAAGTGAGATGCCCAAGAAATATTGTTATAAATACTACACTATCAAAAAGCTGTCAAGCGAAGAAAAAATGTTGTCTTTGTAAGAAATAAATCAGTTGCAGAGAGGCCAACATCCTGTGGAATTGTTACTGTATTAACTCAACACAAAATTTTTCTCATGTATTTTTTACACGAGTTGTAAACCAGCAAAATAAAATTCCGTTACAATATACTCCTGAGATAATGAGATTGTACTCTCTCTTCTGGGGAAATAAATAGCAGTTGTGTAGTACATACCTTGCTTGATTTAATCTTTAAGTATTCCTGCGTTGAGAAGTAATAAATATTCAAATATTCCGGCGATAAAGAAGCAAACGATTTGAATATTCGCAAATATGAAATATGGCGAACAGGCAAGAGTCGCGGTGCGCAAAGCATGTTGGTACTATTTTTACCGAACTCGAAGCGAGCTGTTTCGATTATGTATCGTCGTGTTTCGTTTCATAAACCGTTGGTTATTGTTCGTTCTTTGGCGCACAATATCTATAAATTTTGAATTCGAATCGCATTCAGCGGCGTATATGAATATCAGCGTTTATATAATAGCTGTACTATGGTTAATCTTTGTGAGGACAGTGCTTGGATATGAATAATGAACATGAATATTAAATATTTAACAAAATTAAAGCTAAACAGTCGATTCTGTCGGAAGATCAAATCGAAGGAAGAGCGTTGAATTGCTGCCAAGGTCCAGATCATGGTCAAGATAGTGCGAATTTCAGGTTGGTAGATTTGTTTGAACGTTTGAAGCGGTCCCAAGAATATTGTTTACATTTTTAAAATACATATCCCTTGTCTGTTTTAACTGTACAACATAGGAATGATCATCACTTCTAGTCTTCAATATTCAGTGGTCATATGAACGTGTTTTGACTGAGGCAATGGTTCACACTTCACATTGTTTACAGATACAATAAAATTATATGGCCCCTGTACATAAGCCCCCATCAAAAAATCTTTACGAACGAATATAAGCCCAGGGCATATGTTCGGAGGTTCACGGTATGCCATTATATATCTGATTCTCTTGTGTTCTTTGATTGGCAGTAAAAACTGTAATCATTTTAATGGTGTCTGTTCTTATAGTTTTTTCCATTCTTTCAGATTGATGTAAACCAAATGATATATCACTTTTGCATCATGCTGTACATAGTACATCAAACACAAAAGAACCGGGTTTAACCATAGAGGGTTGAGACCACCTGATAAAGGAGATTGACAGTAGCACAGCTATACAAGAAGGTATATAATCAGTACCATGTAATGTTTTGTGAAGATAAACTCTTTTGATGTATTACATCGCTGCTGTGGGATTGGTTTATCTGCAGTGGTCTGCATGTTACTGGGTCCAAATGCATTGTCGTGGGAAAATTGCCTAAAGCAATATAGTTATAGGGCAGAAGAAACTCTTAAAACTGAATTTAGTTGTTACTACTGTATACCGTACTGTCTAATGAAGTGATTTTAGTCAATATAGATATATACATATGTTGTTGTTGTATATGTATAATTAATATAGCTAGCTATACTATACACAGGGCTGCCTAGAGAATTTGTGGGGCCCGAGGCAAACCTTCCCTGGGGGCCCCATGACATTATTATTTTTAAGCTAGACCCAACTAAACCTTAGCTAGAGCTGCATGTGGAGGTGCTGTAAGTGGCCCTCAATTTCAAAAATGCTCTTTATAGAACCTATTCAATTTTAGGCGCTTGCTCCAAGTTGGGGCCCTATTAAGGTGGGGGCCCAGGGCAATTTGCCCCCCCCCACACCCCCCCTCTTGGCGGCCCTGACTGTACATGTGATTATTTTGATTATAGCTAAATAGAATATGCAACCCTATCGTAGAATGTGTTATATTTTGAGTGTATACCATATTGCTAACCCATTGAACTGAATTGTGCCCTACTTTGTTGTTTTACTATCAATATTTAAAACATGGCTTGTTTTGGCAAGACATGACATCCTTTTCACATATTGAATTTGACAGAATGTCATTTCTGTGATATATCGAAACAATGCCATTTCTTTGATGTATCGAAACCATGGATAGTTTAGAGTTTTCGACATATTGAAAAAATGGCAATCTTTTGATATATCGAAGAAATGGCATTCTTTCAATATATAGAAGCCATGGATAGTTTAGTTTTCGATATATCGAGGAAATTGCAATCTTTCGATATATTGAGGACATTGCAATCTTTCGATATGTCGAAGAAATGGCATTCTTTCGATATATCGAAGAAATGGCATTCTTTCGATATATCGAAGAAATGGCATTCTTTCGATATATCGAAGAAATGGCATTCTTTCGATATATCGAAGAAATGGCATTCTTTCGATATATCGAAGAAATGGCATTCTTTTGATATATCGAGGAAATGGCATTCTTTCGATATATCGAAGAAATTGCAATCTTTCGATACCGGTATATCGAAGCATTGGATAGTTTAGAGTTTTCGATATATCGAAGGTGGCATGTGCCATGTTCTTGATATATAATTTTCACTGACTGTGGCTGCCTCCAGACATGTTTTGGAACTATAACATTTTCCTCTTTTTTCCCCTTTTATTCACATGCCTTTTACTCACTTTGCTAAAAACAATAAATTTTGCCCAAATTTTTTAGCAGTTTTTTCCTCTTAGAGATTTAGTATCATTTTAGTCATATCTTGCAACTTGGAAAAGCTAAAATTGTTGCAAAATGTGTATGTTTTTGCTGAATATATTTCCAGTCATTTTTAACATGCATTTGATGTGATTTTCCTATTAAAATATGAAATCTGTCATTGTCCACATTTGCAATTATTCTTATGTTTTTTACCAATTTTTATCATGTTTGAAAAGGAATTCTTGTTTTCATGCAGAATTATTACATTTATGTATAATTTCTCCACAGTCATGGCTGTATTCATTGCATTTTTTAGTGTTTTCTTTCATTTTCCTCTCAAATTCTGTTCAATAGAATATTGGACCCTATATGTAGTAGAGCGTGTTTTTGATTGATATGGTAAATAATTGGATGCGTACCCTTGACGCCCCCCTCGCACTATCTTAGAGTATGCTTTTTAGACTTCAGTAAGGCGTTTGACCGGATAAATCACAACATCCTCATTGGAAAACTAATATTACTTGGCGTTAGAAGATGCATTATTCCATGGATCTGTGACTTTCTTTCTAATCGTCGTCAACTAGTTAAAATTGGTGGATTTCAGTCAGCATGAGGAAGTGTTAACGGAGGTGTCCCACAAGTAACTAAGCTGGGACCGATATTATTTCTTGTTATGATTAACGATCTAGAACTAAAGTCTCCACATACAAGTCACTGGAAATATGTTGACGATCTTACTCTTTCTGAATCTCTATCTATACGTGACCAATCGACATTACAATCTGACCTAGATGAAATACAACAATGGGCAGAGCAGAATGACATGCGTTTGAATGTTAAGAAATGCAAAGAAATGGTGATTAGCTTTTTAAGACAAAGTCCAAACATTGTCTCCCTGCATATCAACGGGAATCCACTCAGTATCGTATCATCATTTAAAGTACTTGGTGTCACCTTTAATGACCATCTGAAGTGGAATGAGAATGTCAACATTCTCGTGAAGAAAGCTTCTAAGCGCCTGTACATTTTGCGCATATTGCGAAGAAGTGGCGTTCCATCGGCTGACCTGCTGCCAGTTTTCCTTGCCCTGGTACGTTCAGTCCTAGAGTACGCATGCACAGTTTGGCATACGAGCCTTCCCAATTATCTTTCAAACAAGATTGAACATGTTGAGAAGCGTACCTTGCGTGTATTATACCCAGGTCTGCATTATATCGACGCACTCCAAATAGCCAAATCGCACGCTTAGACACTAGGAGACACGATTGGTGTACGAAAGAAAACCTTTGAGAAGATTGCTAAACCCAACAACCGATTGAACAACCTTCTGCCACAAACACGAGTGGCCGCGCACGGACGGACTTTGCGTAATAAGGACTGTTTGTCTCTGCCAAAGTGCCGTACTAATAGATACAAAAATAGTTTTATTCCAGCAATGTGCTTTGAGTTAAGGAATAAACTTCAGTGATTAGTTGCATATTATATATATTTTAGTTATATATTATATATAGATTTTAATACTTTAGATAATTTATTGAATTTATGTAAACATATCATAATTCACTGTATTAATGCCAAGATATGTGAATAAACCATTTATTTATTTATTTTATTTATTTAATGAGGGGCCATGAAAAATATACCTAAAGTTTAGAAATATCTTCTACCCCCCCCCCCAGCATTAATAATGACTGCTCTCTTAGAATGAGGTGCATTTTCGCCAGATATTTGAGAAACGTAGACCAGATCTTCCAATTGATACGCAGATAAAAATTCGGGTGTGACCATAGATATCTTCTATGGGACCGACCGGTCAGGTCATTAAATGAAAGGGCCCTATATGTTATTCTTCATCTATATCTGGCTACATTCGACCAAAATTTGAAAGAAATTCGCCGAGTAAAGGTAGATCTCCTGAAACACATGCCTAAGGTATGCCATGCCTGCAATTACCTTAAAATCTTACCATAGTTCTAGAAATATCCATAGCAGCGAAAGCTGTTAGGTGGTCGCATTCGCATATCAAGCGGTTACTATATAACTTGTCTTTTACTCTTTTACATCCATCTGTCTTCCACCTATTTTCACCTAATCTTGGTTTCCAGTATGCACATGTTTTGGAATCGTTCTGAAAGTAAAATGAATAATTCAGATCTAAAAATGTTGTTATTCAAGAAACAGTAAACATTACCCATGTTTTTTGTTTCAGGTGTTCCGCACACAGGTGTATTCGTTTGCATTCTATTGTATTCCATAATGACTGTATTCCAGGGTAGGTTATTATATTTAACAAATATTTACCTCATTGTCGGTGAATAGTCCTTACACTATAGTATACAGAATAGTCACTTAAACGGGAAAGACTACATCAAATACCTGGGCGTCTATATTGATAAACACCTTAAGTGGGGCCAGCAAATAAACCACATAAAAAGCAAAATATCTAAAAACACTGGCATCCTTAATAAATTGCGATATTATGTGAACCTACAGATGTTGAAACAACTCTACTATTCCCTAATCTATCCATATCTTAACTACGGAATAATGAGCTGGGGAAACACCTATACTACCCATCTATCCAAAATTCGCACTGCTCAAAATAAATGTGTACGAAACATTTTCTTTGCGCATAAAAGAGAAGATGCCAGTACCTACCTCAATCTATTGGGAATACTCAACGTTGACAATGTTCTTAAATTGAAAATTGCAATTTTTACATATAAAATCCTTAACAACTTAATACCGTCAGTTTTTGCAAACTCCATATCCATCGCATCTACCTGTCACTCGTATAATACAAGATTCGCGGCAAATCAAAACTTTAGCAGACCAAAAGCGCGCACAAATTACGGCAAACACACTTTTCTTTTTTCGTCATCCAATATTTGGGAAACGAGAGACCTACATATTAAGCAGTCGACTTCAGTTAGAATATTTAAATCTAAATATACAAGAAAACTTATCCTAAGTCAAACGTAGAATCCAGACACTGATCCAGCCACACCAAACACGTCATGTTCTTTTTTGTCAATTATGTAAACAGTCACAAAACAACAATTTTGTAAACGGTGGCCAACTCGAAAGCTTCTCAGCTACTTTGGCCACTGTACACGATATAATACCATAATTAACTCCCTTTTTTTCCCCTTCCATTATGATTTTTTTGTGATGTAATTAATGTCTAACTATATCTTTTGTAAACGTGTGAAATAAAATTGATTTGATTTGATTTGGAAGCGTTGAGATGGATAAAAGCTTTTAGTAAATTTTATTCATTAGAAATAGCTTTGAAGAATACCTCTACTCACTGTTAAACAAAACTTCGTGGCTTCCTTCGTGTTTTGCGAAACCGCAGCTTCGTTTAGTAGAAAACGTGTTCGTCTGTATAAACCGGAACAAAACGGGACGCCATTTTGTTTTTGTCCAGAGGTGAATAGTGTAAGGATATGCGGAGCTGAGCAACCAATCAAATTGCGCGAAAAGCACTACCCGCAAACTTCTGAATATATGCTAATCTATAATATTCTGATGTTTTCTACTCAACTATCCTACCATTTTACTCGATTCAATTCTGTTCTACTCTATGTCTTACTCAATTATTTTCCATCCTAAACTGCAAACTGCCATGCATTCTCTTTGAGTCGAAAACAAGAAAGCTTTTATTACCAATTCTGCTAAGTCCCAGCTGATGCGTACAGGTTGTGAAAACTTCACCTTTTGCTCAGGTCGGACATTTACAGTTATGATCTTGCTGCTTATTGCTGCATAAATATTATCACCATAAGAAGTATTCTTTATAAGAGAATGTATTGTTTTATACCACAAGATAACTACCACGGCGCCAGATTCTTTCAGTAACGCATCAGGCGAGAGATTGAACGATGCATTTGGAAACTTGAAAAATCTTTCCTCTGGTGACAAATTGCCTGAGTGTTTTATGTATCTGAGGTTTAGCTGTACGTTGGGATAGTCTTTAACTATAAGCGAAGTATTTGAGCTGTTTTTTAAGTTCTTTCCATATTGGAATCCATAATCTTCCAAGGTTATTACCAGATCACGAATCACCTTATTGTCCTAGGAAAGGAAATAATAAAAAGAAGGGTGCCAGATGAGACAAGAAAAAAATGCCCGGATTTCTAGAGTTCAAGTAGTTTGTAGGACTAGTCACACCTATTGGGAAGGTAGAAAATTCGTGGAAAATTTTAACCCATTAAAACGGCCAATTAAATTTCAGTGTCACGTATTGTCTGGAATTTTAAAAAGTAGGTACAAATTTTGTACTAAACGAAGCTGCTGTTTTTCCAAAAAAATCACAAAGTTTTGTTTAACTGGCAGTGTGCAGAAGTAAACTTTGAAGCATTTTCTAATGAATAACATTACTAAGAGCGTGTAAATACTGTTTTGTTTACATCTATTATGGGAGCTGAAATACAAATTGTTTTAAAATATTTTTATTGTTTTTTGGTCATTTTTGGTTTGTTATAGTATATTCCAAAACAATTATTCCCCTAAGTGTCGATGAATAGTGCAAGGCTATATTTACCTAGACGCTTTGTGTTTCGGTTAATATCCTTGCACTATATTCACCTCCACTTCGGTGAATAATTGTTAATTAGTATTTTTGCACAAGTGAACATAAAAAATTCTACAAGATGATTGGTAAAAAAAAAACTAGTTTCATATTAATCTGACACTGCAATCGACCAACGAAAAATTGACGTATTAAGCTGTTATATATATATTCACCTACAGGTGAATACAGTTATTTCAATTAAGGTTGTCCACGAGCAAAACGGAAAAGTCGAATACAAGCGCGAAAGGCTGCTGGGAATCGCTAACAAATCAATGAATTTTCATAGCGATTCCTAGCAGCCTTTCGCGCTCGTATTCGACTTTTCCGCTTTGCTCGTGGACAACTTTAATTGAAATAGCTGTATAACAAAAACAAAACTTTAAAAATGGCGGCTAGCCGTTTTGAGGAAGTTACTGACAAAGAAATAAACGAAATTAAAATAAATAGTCAGTCCCAAAAAAACCCACAAAAGCTTGTGTAAAAATACTAAAACAATTATTCGCTTCAGGCTCGGTGATTATATCGGGGATTAGTATAAATTTTACATATCAAATGAGCTTTCGCGCGTTCTGATTGGCTAGTTGACTAGTAAATCTGACGCATTATTTACAACCTGACTAGTAAATAATGCTTTTCAAAAAGAATGATTTGGCAAATTTGGTTTCAAAATCGACGAAATATATATTGAAATATTCGTCCCCAGAAAACGAAAACAGCACAAAATTGTTGTATTTAACTTGGAAGGTAGGATTCCTTTATCATCTTGCTGTGTCAAACATATTCACGGACAATACAGAGCTTATTTAAAACTCCGAAACATTCGCTTCGAACAAATAGCAAAAACTATCCCATCTGTTGGGCAAAACTGGGCAAAACCTTGCGGTGATATTCTTTTAAAACCACTTTGTTTTGTATCCTGTAGATATCTCAATTTGTACGATACTATTTCTTTTAATATGTCATGTTCAGTGGCGTGCTGGGTACTATTTTTCTGGGGGGGGCCAGTCGACTGGCAACCAATATGCGCCCCTATACTATTACGCTTGATAAACGAGGGCCGAAGGCACGAGCCGAGCGCCGCAGGTGCGAGGTTTGTCTAGGGGGATCCGGGGGCATGCCCCCCCGGAAAATTTTTGAATTTAGGGTTTCTGAAATGCCATTTCCTGGACTTTGGGGGGAAGATTTGACAGAAATCTGATGGTCAGGAAACGGCATTACAACGTGTCGAAATTTGCAAATTGGTTAGAATTTAGTAGTAGTACTTAAATTGGGCAATGCTAACTACTTCCAGCAATTAATCTAATTCCAATTCTATTTTCTACTGATCTAGTGATCTGAATACATTGACAACTTACAGCCCTTTTATATACAATAACACACGGACCACACGCATATGCATTTTAAGGTTTCCTCGCCTGGCTGCCAAAAGGGCGCATTTCAGCATTATATCTCATTACTTACATTACTCATGATGTTTCTTGCGCAAACAACTAAATTGCGTACACAAATTTACATTATCATAACTTCAACTATCTAATTTGCACCGCTCATGTGATTCGTGAAGCATAATAAAGGGCATAATATAAGGGCATAATACCAGCAAAAAAGGGCATAATTCCCGTGATCGCTTCGAAGCCTGATCAATATTCTGGTGATGAGACATTGCGTGTGATCACTGATCGTGTTTCTATATGAACGAGTGATTTCGTGTGAGTCGTGAGGTAGCAAATACGGTTAGACAAAATAGTCTGCAATTTAATATACTCACTTTGCCGCCTATGCGCTTAGTCTGTTTATAAGTCTATAAACACATCTTTCCTTGGCGGAATTAGTAACTATATTTTTTCGAATGCGTTTCTTCCCACCCACTTTCAAAACGCGGGATCGGCGCCCCCTTTTCATTTTTGCGCCCCCCAAGAATTGCCAGCTGGGGGGCCGTGGCCCCCCGGCACCCCCTGCCAGCACGCCACTGGTCATGTTTTCATTCCACTTTACCAATTTTTTAGCCATTTCTTCAACAAATTAATGCTAAAAAAGTCATCCCATCATTGTGTTTATATTCTAAGCAGAAGTCGAGAAAAACAGCTTTGTAATCGCAATAAAGTCACACATGAAGCAAATTTGAAAGCGTGCGTGTACAAAAAACACTGCGACACTAAAACAGTAACCGTGAAACCGACCGAAAACAGTTTTGATTCCGAATTTTAATTAAACTGATGTTTGGATATTTTGTTTTGTTCATTAAAAATTTATACTAAAACAATTATTCGCCCCAGGCTCAGTGACTATGGTGAATATTTACCTCGACTTCGTCTCGGTGATTATTCACCGGTAATCACTTCGCCTTCGGCGAATAATTGTTAAATATTCACTTCGACTTCATGTCGGTGATTTATCCCGATAATCACCTCGCCCGGGCGAATAAATGTTAATTATAACTATTCAAAGGCCTTGCTTATCATGAGTGAAACACTTCGAATCAGATTGTAGTAGGCTTGAGGTAGTAAACCTATAGAGAAAAGGATGCTATAGGATAACACCTGGCCCATCATGAACTAAACAGGCTTTATTTTTGAGACTCGATTAATTTCAATCACTAACTCACCGTCAAGTTTCTCCATGATTTTGTATTCCTAATATCCAATATATTGCTTGCTGGACCCAATATGTTAAGATTGTTATCAGAAATATTTAGATAAACGATTTGTTGGAGTATTCTGGCTATAATAGTAATATTTTGTGGGTCTATTCCTTTTTCTCTTTGTTCTTTGTTCATCTTATCAAGGTTTGTTACGTTTAACAGATCGTCGATAACTTCTTTAGCGACCTTTTTTCGGACTTCATCTGATACATTTTCACGATAGAGATCATCCACCTGAAAATTAAGGAGGTAGTTAATCTTCAAGTTAAGCCTTTTGAGTTAAGCCCCGACCACGCCCAAAACATGCCCGGATCATGGACGTAGTACAGTATTTGTCCCGTCCTATTTGTTCATGAGTAATTTCAGGTAAATTTCTATAGGTAATTCAAACTGATTTTCAGGTAAATTATAACAGCACTGACAGGCAAACGTGGAAGTTAAAAAGGAAAGCAAGTTAAGAATGCCAAGAGAGTGTGTATTATATAATTTCCATACCCAGCGCAAGCAGAAAGATATTGTCTGCCGCGGCTGGGTCTAGTAATTCGTTGATCTAGTAATTCGTTGATCTAGTAATTCGAAGGTCGCGGGTTCAAAACCAAGCCACGGCAGACAACATCTTTCTGCTTGCGCTGGGTATGGAAATTATGAGATTCAGACAAGACTAACAGAACACCAGAACGCAATCTACAGACACGACCATATCTCACTTCCAGCTAAACACACAGACGACAACGGACTATATATATATATATATATATATAAATATATATATATATATATATATATATATATATATATATATATATATATATTATATATATATATATATATATATATATATATATATATATATATATATATATATATATATATCATATATCATATATATATATCATATATCATATATATATATATATATATATATATATATAT